ACAGTTTTTCATTAAATCATATTTTTATACATTTGCAGGTACAAATACGGATCAAAATTTGGGAGGTCTATTACGTAGTCGTGCCATAAGTTCTGTCCCATGATAATCTCATGATAAAAATGAAACAAGATAAGATATATTTATATGAAAGATATTATTTATTCGACAACATTTTTAGAATTCATAATCAAACAGTTTTATTCAAAATGTCCCCCCTTGGCCTTCACACACTGCTTCAATCTCGCGGGCCACTCATCTATCACTGCACGCACAGCTTCCAAAGGAATAGCTGCCGCTGATCGGATCAAATCCGCTTTCAGGGACTCGATATTACGGTGGGCTTTGGAGCAGGCCAACTGCTCTAGCAGGTCCCACAACTTGTAGTCTAAAGGATTGAGGTCCGGACTCCCTGAGGGCCAATCTTCCGCAGCAATGAACTCTGGCACATTGCTTTCCAGCCAGCGCTGCGTACTCTTAGCCTTGTGAGCGGGGGCGAAATCCTGCTGGTAGACCCAGTGTTGGTTGGCAAACAATGTACCACTTAAAGGCTTGACGATAGGATCCAGTATGTCGCTCTGATAGTTTGCCGCTTTTGTTTTCACGCCCTGTTTACAGAAATGGAGCTGAGTGACCCCTTCGTAGGACACCCCCCACCAAACCATGACTGACGCAGGGTGGTGGCCTCTCTCAACTCTCGGAATGATCTCCGAAGCTTCCTGTGAACTCCTTGCATACACTTTGTCATTTTGTCGGTTGAATTTTTCTTCTATGGTGAAGATTTTCTCATCCGTGAACAAAATCTTTCGGAATCCCCCAGCTGCGTACCTCTCCAAGAGCTTCTTGGATCTTGTCGCCCTGATGTGTCGCAAGGTGGCCGTAAGTCGCTGGCCCGTACGTCTCCGGTAAGCCCCTAGCCCTAGGTCTTGTTTAATGATGCGCGACATCGTCCGGACAGGAATCTTCATTTCCCTGGATAGGATCTTCTGCTTCCGGAGTGGATTCCTTTGAATCCTGGCTTTTACGGCTTTGATGGCTGCTGGAGTCCTTACTTGACGAGGTCTTCCGCTTCTTGGCCTGTCATCAACAGAGGACGTCTCATTGTACCGCTGAATGGTCCTAGACACAAATTTACGCGATATTTGAAGGCCGCGTAAGAGTTCAAAAATCTGACTAGCACTGTGATTACACTTATGTAAAGCTATCACTGCAATACGGTTCTCTGCCTTGCCCCACTCCATCGTTATGCTTCGAGAGATCAATACAAACTGAGGTATATGTAATTACCCGAAAAGCGCTTAATCAACTGACACCACAATGTAAACAATCGGACAAGTATTAACAGGTCTACACTTGTTTGAAAACGAGGGACAGAACTTATGGCATGACTACGTATTTCCCTATGTTTAAAACTAGAGCGACATAATTCAGTACAAATTAAATCCCTTACTGCGTACACACGATTCACAGTTTCATCTAAATCACTGGAGTTATTTGAGAAAAATACAAAATATCAATACTAAAAGAAATGAACTTTAACTCAACTCTAACGGCGGGCATATTATAAACGTAAATAGCCGCATACTTGAATAAATTGGGAAATAAAAGCAATTAAAAATCAAAAGCGCAGACGACTAATAGGCAAACTTTTGAATACACATTATTGTTATCGCATTTCACTAAAAATCTATTCCGTGGACGCGGATTCCGAGGTTTAAGTCTAGGCGGTGTGTATGAAAAGTTAGTAGCCATATGCAGCAATGCTATCTTTTAATTTTCATGAGTAAATCGATCTTAATGTCTGAAAAATTTCTGATGAAGACTTGAAAAACGGTGCATATTGAAGATGTATCGATACAATATTTTCCAGGAAACAGTTGTATGTATTCCTAATCATAGTGCAGAATCGAACAAATATATCACATATGGTAAACGGGTATGTATAAGTCAAACTGTTGTTGCGTGATCCGTTTTAACAGATTACTGTTCATTTGCTCAGCTGACCAGTTTCCTGCAAACTTGGTTGTATCGGGTTTCTCTATTATACCGGTCTGTCGATGGCAAAATGTAACATGAGGATTAAATACCGTATCACATATGGTAGACGCATCTAGTAGTTCACTGATATGAACAATGAATAAAATAATTGATTTTGACTCATATGGGGCAGATCTATGAAAGAACTAGGCCAAAAAAGCTTTGTAAAAAATAACGTCAAGTTTGACTCTGCACTTACCAGTTCCCTCAAGGATTATGGTCAGCACAAATTAGCCCCTCTGATAAATAATGACATACGATGTACAATAGACAAATTAATTGGATTAAGTCCGTAAAACAGGCCGATACAATCCAGCCGATAGTCCCCAGCTATTTGACAACGTGCGAAATTTCTCCCCTACTCTACCGACGGTACCGACCAACTGTCAACGTTTGTTTGACTATTTTCGCCGCATAGTTGTTATGTTTTAATCAAAATGTTTAAAACAAATGTTTTAAACACTGTTTAAAACAATGAACATGTCTTAAACCAATTTGTCTTAAACTGTTAAAACATGTTTTAAACACTGTTTTCTGTCGTTAGTGAATTAATCAGGCTGTTTTAGGCTAAAACACATAGGTACTAAAAAATATACTTTATTTTATATTAATTAAGCAAACATGAAGCTAGGGAACTAATACTACTGGAAAAAAATCTGTTTCTTAACGAACGAGTGAACTTAATAAACTGCGTTGAACTGTAATACTAGTACACTACAAGCAGCAGAATAATCATATAATATGACTATGTATTTACTTGTATAATAACGTTAAATAAGTTACCTAACAAATTTCTATAGAAGTATACAACCCATCTTATTTAACAAAAAATTAAAAAATCCTTAAATCCATATTTTTAAAATATAAAGTCATGGAAAATGTACTTAGAATAAATTATTACTTTGCACTCCAAGTAAAAAAATGTACCTTTTTCATAATTCTCCAAGCTACTTAACTTCGAGGAAATAACTTCGGTAGAAACATCATCATTGTCGGTATCAGAACTATCTGATATATTAATGTTTTGTTTTTCTAACATGTTTAAGTTGTTTACAGTTTCTAATATAATTGCACATTCTAGCCACTAGTGGCACTATATCCATATTGCAGTTTAAACGTTTTGCTATTTTATTTATTTTCTAGCCAGCTTTGGCATCAGTCTCCTTAAATTTTTTTCACGCGGGATCCTTTCTCCTCTCTGAAATTGCCTTTCTTTTTTTTGCCGATCTTTAATGCACAAAAAACAAAACACACCACCACGCTACGACTTCGCACATTTGAAAAATTACCCAATAACAAACGTTACTTACTTCTCCGATGTCCGCCCGTCAGTTTCCCGATGTCCGCCTTTGAATTAGAGATATACTCTAATAGAGCTGGATCAAAAATAGTAATAATATTTTCCAGAAACTTCATTAATGGTTTTTTATTTTTTTTCACTGTTTTAATCATGTATTAACACTGTTTTAAATATGTTTTTTCAGCTAAATTTGAATGTTTTAAACAAAAAAAATGTTTTAAGCAAAAAAAACATGATTTTCGTTTTTGTTTTAAACGTTTTTTTCAACTCTGCTTCGCCGGCTACAATTTCAGACATCTGTCGTACTCCGACATAGATACATTCACGTTTGTTAGGTTTCTCTATCCTTATTTAATGCCAGATGTAGGGAAAACCCTTATGTGTGAAATATGTAAAACAAGTACGTAGAATTACCGGGAATGGAAGCAAATAAGTATACCGCAAAAAATTATTCCCTCCCACACCTCTTACAACGCCCTACCTGCAACTCTAAACCCTAAAATTTTTTGTGTCAAGGAGCCTCTGAAACGAGTTACAGAGATTTTCATTTATTTTTTGTTTGTTTTTTGCCTGTATCCCCGCCGCCATGTGATCGATTTTTAAGCATTACAAAGCTTTTTCGTCCTTGGCATAGTAATAACCTTATGTCATAATTTCACTAAAATGCGAACGGTACCTGTCGACAGACATACAGACAGATGGAAATAAGTGACGTAGTTTTTCGTAATTTACGTGATGTAACGTCCTAAAACCGTATCTAATTTTTGACTTTTTGCGATTACCATACTTCCTCGTCAGTGGCGTTTCTGAGAGTTTCGACGATTTTCGAAACATATCTTTGGATATGGATAAAAAGTGTTTCGATAATGAAAGCAATTTTGGAAAAGACCCTTAGCGATATTATATACGCTGACTCTTTATCTTACTTGCACATCACTAAAGTGATTTGTAAATACTACTACAAAAAAAGATGATGAATAATATTGGCAGATTCAAAACCTAAATCGTGCTATTTTTAAGCTAGTGTCAGAATTCTCAACATAACTACTTCTTTGGCTGGTCCGGTGAGAAATTAGTAGCGTCTTCGAATTAACTTCTTTTTCTTAAATATATTTAAAAGTAATAATAAATGGTCTCTATTTTTTTAACGGATGTCTGCAATACCAGCTGTTTCAGATCTAAAAAAAAAGTGAATGCTTCAAGTTGTTGGAAATACCAATAATAAATAGACGCGGACTTAACATACTATCTTTCATAGTATATTATTTTAGCTACTTGGAAAAATAGAAACAAGGCAGACGACTTTCTTGGGGTGAAGTAGATGGATCATTATCGTTAATATTTGTCACTTCATTCTAGGTAACACAACTATTGTTAATTTTAGTTCAAGAAGGTGAAATTGAAAAAACATAGGGTATGTTATCGACACCTCGGCCTATGATGAGGTTATACATATTAACGATGATGGCCAGGATATCTTCGATGCATCGAAGGCGCATCCTCTTTATTTATGTTGTGTCAAGTGGCTGGAGCCTGGCATACCGGGCCCTAACGCTGAAAAGATGGTTACCAAGTCCGCGTCTATTTTTTGCTGGTACATATTTCCTAAACTTGAATTATACGTATATTTTTCGGTTTATAACAGAGACCATAAATTTTGTTGCAGGGCCACACAGCAGTGTGCGGCAACGTGTTGGTGCCATGTCCGAATAAGTGCGGGGCGTACATTCCAAGAATAGAATTGAAAAAGCACAACCGGGAATGCATCAATCGGACAACCAGGTCAAGCCCCAGACTGACCCACAACGATCATAGCACGTACGAGGATGTTTATGATATGCCAGTAACTCGATCACTTGGTAAGTGGATAGCTGGAAATGTACCACCCACCTATTTCCTGTTATACTTCACTTGCTGTTACCCGCGACTTCGTACGCTTTAAATTGTTGCTAACAAAACATTGTTCTTGAGTATTGATATAATTCCATTGCATTAACAAATTGACAGTGAACTTACATGCTTAGGAAATTTGGTTATTTTATTAATGGAGCTCATCATCTCCTCCAAATTATTTGCATTATGTTGCCTAGTTACGCAAACTCAAGGAAATAACTTCGCATCTACTAGGAAAAATATTGTGATCCGGTTTTCCTTTAGCATAATCTTATTAAGAAAGAGTCCAACTTAACAAATCCGCATGTTGTCAGACCGAAAACCGCGTCAAAATTACTTAATAAACAATTTTTCGAGCAAATTCAGAAAAGCTTGCGTGTTTTGGGTCAGTCTGAACAAAAATAATTCTTATGAACTTTTCTCGAATGTTGATAGTTTTGATAAATTTTTAAAAGTGCAAAGTATTATGTCCCAAAAAAGAATATCAAAAAATGAAAATTTTTATGTTTCATTAATAAAATTCCAAAGCATTTAAGGGATATTATTATTGTAAACTCTTGTTGTGATATTTTCTATACCTATGAGCAAATTATTACTGAGTATGTTGCCAATGAAGTAGATGTATTAACTGTACCACACGGGTTATGCGAGTTGTCCTTTCTGAAGAGAGGCGGAAATCATTACCACGCGCGCGTTATGTGTAATTGAGTTACATCACTCAAAAATTAAGAATGACGCATCAAACATAGCATTTTCCCAGTGCCTCACTTCTAGGCGCTGATTTGTATTTTCTACTTGACATCGCAAAATAAATGTCTATAAAATTTAAATGACTGGAAATAAACAAATAGTCTGAAATGTAAGAACCTTACCTCGTTTCAAAATATTTCCCCTCTGTAGCCTATTTTCTCACCTGTCAGTTGTAATATACCTCACCAACCAGGGATTTTCTTTTTTATCTCTCTCATTTCTTGCATATGTGATTTCTAGGATAAAGCATACATCTCAAGTAAGTGTCTTTGAGACCAGAAGCCCAGGGAATAATCATCGACATAGATTATTAGCTCACAAATCCTCTCTAAGCACATATGCACTGCCGTTTCGTCCTTTTCCTTCCAGCTATACCAGTATACAACTCACAGCTTAGTCCTTAAATATGAGAGCCAAAGCATTGTAGCTCAAGCGTCATGACGTTTAGGCAACACGTACAGCTACACAACGAGTGCACATCAAGTAAACAACAGCTATACTATAACTATCTAAAACTGTAATGACTCATCGATATTCACGTGAACATCACTTAACTACCAGTAGTCGGCTGTTCATAGGCGGGGTATGAATGTTTAACATGGGTGAACTAGATTTGTCACATGCTTAATAAAGAGTGGTTTGAAACATATTGTAAGTCAAAAATTTGGGAATTACCTTTATTCATCGTCGCTTCCACTTACATCTGACAGTAATAAACTGTCGCTATCGCTTTCCTCGTTGAAATTGACTACAACTGGCTCTATGATGGTGTCGATGTGGTGGTCAAGCTGCCACATTTTTGTTTCTTCCTTCACAACATGACGGTTAGCATTCTGCCAAGCTTCGGGCGTTACTAGCTGTATGGAAGTCTCAAGTAAAACCTTAACGTCTGGTAATTTGAAGGTTGTGTTATGGCGCGCAATATAACCCTTCACTTGAGCCCAGATGGGCTCTATTGGGTTCAGTTCACAGTGGTAGGGCGGTAACCGCAGCACAGTGACACCACATTGACGGGCCATCTCATCAGTCACGTAACTAATGTTCGCAGGTTTGTGCTGTTTAATTTTTTCATACAATTCCGCTTTCATACATGAATAGTCAAACGGGATTCCTTTTTCGCGCAACCATTGCTGCATGTCACTTTTTCGAGATCCCATAGTCGGTACACGTTCGGCTCGACGACTATGGTAGGAAGCATTATCCATGACGATCACAGAGTTGGGCTCAACTCGCTGAAGCACCCCTTGAAACCAGCTCTCCAAGCAGCTGGCATTCATTTCGTCATGGTAATCACCTCCTTTCTTAGAGACGAAACTCAAGTAACACTCTTCTAAAAAGACACTATCGCTACCAATATGAGTTACGATCAATCTTTGACCTTTCCCTGACGGTCCACGAAGACCTGTTGACAAACCTTCAATGCTTGCTTGTCGGTTACTCGCTACGTTTTTGTCTATCCAGGTTTTTTTAACTGTGTGACCTGCATTTACCCATGTCTCGTTCAAATAATAGATTTTTCTGCTTCGTCGCCTATATTCAATCATTTCGCGTAGGTATTTTCGACGCCAGGCGACTATTTCAGGTCTCTCTATCAATTTTCTCCTCTCATTACCTCGACGCTCATTTGGGGTATAATTTCATTTTCCTTGATCGCTGCATGTACATCCTTGAGGGTTGGTATCTCATTCCTAAAGAAGAATGAATGTACGGTCGCCTTAACGCCATTTTGCTATCGTCATCCAATTTAACGGCCTTTCGTCCCTTCAAATTAAACTTTGGATCAGTAGTAGCTCCAGTTTTCTTCTTTTCATGCACCACCTTGCGAATGGTCCACTCTGGAACGCCTGTCATACTTTCACAACGCGCGAGTGCATCTCCCTGCGACATAGTTCTGTTCAGATAATTGAACACGTTGAGCACGATTTCTTTCGCGTCCCTCTTCAGTGCTTTACGAAGCCGTCTACTTGTTCCCTGGCTTTCAGTACTTCCACTCGTGCCATTTGTACTCTCCATGGTTAAGTATAACCAAAACAGTAACCACAGAAACCACAACAATAAAATCACACAACAATTCTTATAGAAACACAGAATATGCGATCGCTCAACGAAACACGTTAAAATGCGTTGCCGACGCCTATGAGTCTGCCGGTCGAGGCGCGTCTTTGATTTCATTGGTTCTGCCGGCGGAGAACAATCAGCCATTATTTCCATCTCTGTCTGTGCTGTTGACCACCGCAAAGCCACAGAAACGACATATGTCGTACGGTATACGGCTGTACTGGAAGGAAGCCGGGATCGAGCTCTGATCACGTGTTGATCACGCGTATGAGTCATTACAGTTTTAAATAGTTGTAATATAGTTCCAAGATGACATCTTATAGGAAAACCTACATAATGTCACAAAAAACGTATATAATATCAGAAAAACGACATAATGTCACTTTTCAAGACACGTAATACACCTGCGGGTGCGTAGGTTCCAAATCCGATGTCAATTAAGTGCTGGAGTTTACGGATACTCTCGGGCGGCTACAGTTCTTTTTTTTTATGCTAGCTACTTCAATCTACTCATAACAGGCTAAGAAGTACTACGAAACGACAGAATAAAATAAAAATGCTCAGTAATAAAAATGCAGAGATGCATATACTGAATGACTGAAGCTATGTATGTCACAGAGACAACGGAATTGTAAATTAGCCATTATATAGCATTATGCTAATATTGATGCCTACCTAAAAAATAATTTGTATTCTTTTCTATTCACAGTCGCTGTAAGACGTTGTCGGCGTCAGTGTGTGAAAGAATTTACAAACAAGATGCCTATTAGTCATTTATGACATATGATGTGAGCGTGGTGTACTATAACTATCTGAAATGCTATGTAAAAGTCATAAAATTTGGTGGGAAAGCAACTACTAACTTTTTTAATAACAAAAATGATCAATAAACATAAATATTTTCAGAGAGGCACTACAACGGGTACCAAAAACCAGAGACGAGGTTTCAGGAAGACATTTCAAAGCTCTCCAAGAGATTAGCAGATATAGAACGAAGATGTGCTCAACAATCACATCAAAACTCTCAGTTACCCAACGTTATGCAAACCTGCGATGCAATGAAAAATAGCTTGATGCAGCATAGCTTGGATATCGAGAAACTTAGGTATCACCATAAGAGCTTTTCAGACTGGAGGAGCAACTTAGAGGTGAGAATTTTCAAGAAAATCGAAAAAGGTTATCATCAGTCGTAATTTTATCTAAAAATCGTAATAGAATCTTGTTCCACTTCATCATAGCTGTTGTGGTACTTAGGTATTTAGGCCCTGGCTCCGTGGCTGCTAATACCTAAATACAAAAGATCTGGTCGGTATGACTGCTTCTTTGTTCTTAGGGTGCCGAAATTGTGGAACAATCTGCCTAGGGAAGCGTTTTCCAGTTCTGCCAGCTAGTTCAAAAAACGGAACAATGTGTCTTCAAGCTCCCTATAGCAGCTGCGAGCCCCTTTTTTAGTTTTCTGTTTACGATAACATCAATATAAAACAATATTACAGATGCCCTTGAAACCTAGTATCTCTTCTCGGCTTTGTGTTACTAAAAAACACCTGTTTCTACTAAGGACACTCCCGTCCAGGTTCTTTTTTAAACTATACCTTCATGTTGCAGGTGCAATTGAACAACTTGAAACAAGCTGCAGCAATGCTCCAAAACGCCAAAAAGGAGACTGACCTACACTTCATGACCTTGCAAGATAGGATCATTCTCCTGGAGAAGCTCCAAATAGAGTTCAACTACATGCGAGACTCTTTCATACAAGAACAGAACTACACCAGACAAATGGGCAAAAACGTCGAGCAGGAATTCAAAGATCTCAAGGCTTTATTCGCTACTGAAAATGCTACCTCAGGAGCTCTAATTGACGATCAGAAACGAATGATCGAAAATTTGAAGCATGAAATTGATGATGTTAGAAAAACAGTGGATGAGCAAAAAGCAAAGCTTACCAACGTAGTATTCGATCTCAGAGCTGCAAGCCAAATCGCTTCAGAAGCTGTAGAAAAGATGGAGATACAAGAAAGGGATTTTACTGAAACCAAAAAGGAAATTAACCAAATCAAATTGGATTTAGAAATTTTGGAAGGACTGTCTACCTCTACAGAAGTGATAGCTATCAAGCCAGGGCGGTTAATTTGGAAAATAACTGATTTCGAAAATAAGATGCTTCGAGCCAAAGAGTTTAGTAGCGTATTCAAAAGTCCTATATTTTTTACACATGATTATGGATATAAGATTAGGGTAAGGTCATTATATAATTACTGTGACTAAATTTTCTAGTTATACAGGGTAATCCAAAATATGTCAAATGTCATGTATGACTTCACGCGAATATAGTTTTTGTTAAATTATAGCTTTTGAACGGAACTCTCAATTATTTTGCTACAAGGATAGCTGATTACTGATCTCGGGTTAAGCAGTGATTAATTTATTCTTCAAGAGGATGCCCAAGGTCCATATACAAGTACTCTCGTGACTACCATAATACTCAGGTTGAAGCCAGGTTTCGGGTGTTCCCCAGGGATCGGTCTTGGCTCCTACACTGTTCCTCTTACTTATCAACCGAATCATCAGCTTTGCTGAAGACAGCAGTCTACATGAGGAATTCAGAGCGACAAGCCGACCTCGCCGCTGAGCAGGAAAAAAGAAGACTAGCGGCGTCTTTCTCTCTGACGTGAGACCTGGAGGTTATCACTGTTTGGGGACGCAACAACCTTGTACAGTGTAATGCTTCCAAAACACAGTACCGTACTTTGACGAACAAAAAGGGTCCTAGTGCTCATCCGGTTTGGAATGATGGCCGAGTTCTGCCAAAGAGCCGTTCATTTCGGCTGTTCGGAGTCCAGATTACCGAGGACTTGATCTGGCACTAACACATCTCGTCAATAGCGGCAGCTGCTAGGAAAAAGCGTGGCTATTTTTTAGGGCTAAGAAATGCTTTTCTCCGCATGACCTGCTCACTGCGTACAAACCCCAGATAAGACCTAACCTCCAGTACAGCCCACATGTTTGGGGTGCTGCCGCCTCGACCACATTATCCAGACTCGGTCTGACTGATCGATGACTCCTCGCTAACGCACAGTCTTGGTACCCTTTTGCACCGACGGGCCGTCGGCTTTACTCCCCAGAGCGCTCCTCTGCGCGATGTGCCTGCCAGACGGACATGCCTGACTGCGACCTTCGATTCGTATTTTCTAAATTTTTTTATGACGGAAAATCTGCGACAACACTCCCATAGGTGCTCGCGAATAAAGACATAGATATTCGTTTTTACGTCTTAGTACAGGCACGTCTTCAGTTAAATTGAGCATGCTCTAGTGGAATAGAGCTTCACAAGACAATTTTGTTTCCAGTTTGTTCGGTTTGATATAGTCAAAATCACGAAAGATGACTATCACGTCATACCATAAATTGTACTGAAGTAATCAATGGACGTACGTCGATGATAAAATCACGATGTCAGGAACATAATGACAATAAATTTATATTATGATTTTGTGAAGTTAGGTTATTTCACTGATTATTTTTATTTTCATTTGATTTCATGGTTTTGAGTGATACCTTAATAATAATTTTAGTGCGGAGTTTTTGTTTTGAGAAAAAAAATAGTTATGAGTAGAATACCTTAAGATGGGAACACCAAAGACCAAAGTATTCGAAAACAACCTAACCAGCTTCAACATAAGCTAGCTATTCATCTTTCAACTCTGATCGATCATGCAATATGAAAACAACGTCTGTCTCTGTCGGATACATGCAAATACAGTCTGTTTAGACAATAAAATTATGTTTGTCTCTGTCATACATATCTGAAACTTCATTAAAAATATCCACAAATCACTGTCATTTGTCTTTACTCCAGACTAAAATGATGATGTAATCATCATCTTTCGTGATTTCGACTGTAGAAACTAGCCGTAATGCATTATTGCTATAAAATTTGTCAGATCTGCTGTATTAGCAATTATCATAGGGTTTTTGTTTTAGGTACTAATGTATATGAATGGAATAAAGAAATGGAAGGATAGGTATACTTTATTATGTATCCATGTCTTAAAAGGAGACTATGACATGTTACTTAAGTGGCCTTGCCACATAGAAGCTACTATAACTGTTAGAGACTTGGAAGACGTTGAAAAGGTGAACAGAATCAAGTCGATTAGAAAGCGTATGTTGGTTCTTTTCGCTAATTGAAAACTTTATCGTTTCAGGGTAAACCAATTTCGAAGTTTATCACAGCAAAGAGGCAATGCGGGGACGAGGAGGGCGAAGAACCTCAAGAGTCATCTTCTTCATACATTTTCATACCTCACTCAACTTTAATGAAACCAAATTACGTCAAAGAAAACACCATGTTTATAGACATTAAGATACAGAAACATTCGAAGTCAGAGACAAGTTTATAATTTTTGGTTTAAGTTTAAATATGAGCTTACGTCATGCAATTTCAACAGTAGTATGAGTATTGGCAATGTTCAAATACAAGTTAGGGTATGCATCGGACTGTCCGCACTAAACAAATTTAGAATCATTTGTAAAAATACAGGTGTGCGAACGGATCCAAATAGTCATACGTTGTCGATCAATGGAGGAAAATCCAAATGCTACATTGAAAATAATACTTTTAAAAGCCACGTTTGCAATCCGATGCAGTCCAATGCGTACGAGCCGGACCTGTGGATTTGGTATCGTTTGAGCAATGATCTCTCCTTGGATTATAAACAAATTCGAAATTTGTACGATCTTCAGCAATTTCAAATTTTCAGGATTTTAAAAATTTTCAGTTTTTCAAATTTTCAAAATTGTCGGGTTTCAGAATTCTCAAAATTTACAAGATGATCAAAGTTTTCTAAATACTTAAAATTTGCAAAATTTTAAAATGTTTTCAAAACCTCACCTAGTGATTTCTGTTGGAATTGTATCTAAAAAAGCAACTTACGTAATTTATTTGTACCTGACATACAATACTGATATAGTCTTTTGTACAAACTTGTTAATTATTTTTAAGCATAATTTGCAAAAGGTAATAAATAAAATGTATTTATACACAGCGCAGCGTTCTTTCAAAGGCTTCAACCTTTGGTATTCCTCGGGGCAGGTGTTCTTCTGAATATAACCTTTTCGATAGCTAAAATCGGTGACTCGAACGCAAGGGTCCAAAAAATGGAGCAGCATATGGTTGTTATGTAATGACCACAGAACATATAGTACTGAAACAATAAAGTAACTTAGAAATTCCTTCTACAACCACTATTAGTCCGGGCAATATCTGTGCATCTGATGGGAAAAATATTCTTATTGGATTTTTACATAGACTTAATCAAAAAGGGTACTTTTCAACGAATCTGCATGTTGCCAGGACCAAATTTGCGTCAAAAATGTTTTTAAACAAATTCCAGAAATTATTTTTCTAGCTCTGGTTTTTTGGGACCATCTGAACAAAAAGGTGCTTTAGGACTTTGCCTTAAAGTTGACAGTTTTCGAGATATAAGCGGTACAATATTTGAAAAAGTGCGAAATATGTATGTCATTTTCCAGGCCCGAAAGATAATATGAAAAATATTTCACATTTCACAAAAGCTATGAAATACATTTTGTTCAGAATGTGCGAAAAAAACCTAAAATCACGTTGACCGGAGCGAAAAAAAAATATTGAATTTTTTTTAAAACAATGTTTACGCCAATTTTTTCCTGGCAACATGCAAATTCGTGGAAAATGACCATTTTTGAATAAGATTATGCAAAACATCCAAATCAGAGTATTTTTTCATCAGATGCAAAAGTATTGCCCAGACTATATATTAAATATATAAGACAATATTTCGTAAACCATTGAATAATAAATATAAGTAGCGTCAAAAAAAATGGAAAGTAAAACCTGAAAACACTCTTTAAAATTCAGATAATCAACGTGAATTATAAAATCTCTTAGAACACGTACCTCTTCATAATGTGAAAAATATTTCATCTCTCTGTTTTGAAACGCATACCACGCCATAACTGGCAAATGTATCAAATACATGCTATATGTCAATCTAGACAAAATCTGGTATGTTGGTCTTGTTAGGATCCAATTAACAATACCTGTAATCAAGAAAATATATCTGTAGTACTTCAAATAACCCAGTTGTATACACAGATATTTTGTAGCTCTCTTAGAACTAGGTGTTATTACACAACTCTTACGTTTTACAGTCCGCAAGACCATTTGACTGCAAGACAATTGCATCACTTGCAATTGCAAGTCGGTCCTATTTCCCCAATTAAAACGATCAAGCTTAAACGAATGAAATGTCACATGGTTTTAATATCCAAAAACCAGTTTCAATCGCCAAGCATCCAATACCAAAACACAATCGAACGTATATTTGTGAACACTTAATTACAACCACACAAACGATCGGACCGACCAAGGGACATTCGCATGAATTATGTAGTCGGAACTGCAAACTTCGTTTTTAAAAAACTTTATTTGATTCCAACAATAGTGTACATGGACCGAACCGGAATTACAGTGTGTGACTGAGATTGAACGACTGACTCATAATTAAGATACAATCGTTAATATAAACCAAAAGTGATGAGCTAGTAAAAAGGAATACAATGCAATTATTATATCAATTAATAAAGTGTTAAATGACAGCAACATAACTCCTCCACCCTTAAGATGAAGTTTTGGAGGGCACAAACAAAACTTCGTGCCTCTGGGGTTGAATTTCGATTTCTTCTAAATGCTGGCTTCTTCTTGACCCTTTTCTTCTCTGGTAATACTTTTTCACGAAAATGCATGAAATTCCAATTAACATAATTGTATACAGGGCTAGACTCCATTTGAAGGGGTGCTTCACTGTTTCGGGAAGATAACAATATATTTGGATCCTGAAACTTCTTCAATTAAGGCCATTTTAAGTGTTACGGGAATTTTGTTGCAATTTGGCTGCTTTTTGATTACTTGTAAAATAGCAAATAGACAATAGTCTTTTTCTTCTGCTACATGGACCAATTTGTTTTCGTGGCAGATAAAAATATATTCTATCATTTGACGTGGTTCAGCATCATATTGGTACATTTTGGTACTAATTGTGAAATAGGAATTTTTGAGAATAATAGTAGTTTGGTTAACAGTAGGAATGGAATAAAGATGATAATGCTTAAATTTGTCGACGTGCAAAAGCGGAATAGGCAAAAACTAATCGATTTTGGAAAAAATATGCTTCTACTGAAATTATGTCGTAAAGCTTATAAGTATCTTTGATGTCTGAATACACCAACTGAGCTTTATTATGATTTTTGACTAATATTTGGAATATCGACTTTAATTCATCTATCGAAATAATACTGGAGTGCAATGAAACAATTTTGGCAAATGCAATGGCAGTTTCCAAATTACTAATTATACAGAGCAGTGTATCTAAATTGAACTTTATTTGTAATAGTGTATCTAAAATAGTATGTATTGTTACTTTGCATCTCTACCAAAGTTTGTTCTATTACAGCTTGATTGTGAACCATAAGGCTAAATGTCTTATTGTTATTTTTGAGAACCTCGTGGGTCAAGGAAGTTTGCTGATTAACTGTCTTAATTACTTGATTCTGATTTTTCTGTAATTGTTCAATAGCCTGGTCATATTTTTTAGCATCGTCATCATCTAAGTTCCCTGAAATCATTTTGATAATTGATCCATTTATTAAGCCTCGTTTTGGGTGATACTGCGTATTCCAGAATGGATATATGGACTTTATTTTATTTTTCAAACTTGACATCGAGTAAACTACATGCTGTTCTATATCTGCTAAGTGAGTATCTGGAGTGAATCCTAAATTGTATTTATGGGGCCGATCAAGTATTACGTAAGCAGATTTATTACAATTATTTACCCCCCATCCCCCTTGTCAGCAAAAGTAAGCAAAGCTCTTACCCCCTCCCCCCATGCTTACGTAAACATTTGTCAATTAATATATTGTTTTTTTTAATATTATAATTATAACGTTATAATTATAATTTAAAAAATAAGAAAATAGATTTAGGATAGAGATTATATCTTACTGATACGGTATTCAACATAAAGGACAAAAATATTATATCTTACTAACATAAAAAACTTATTCTAAATTTTTGGTACATATATTAAATTCAAATTAAGTCTTCAGACCATGAAACCCGCATCCATGATTCTAAATATTCGATGACATTGGATTGCTTCGATTGCTGCTCAGTGTTGTAAGTTTGCTCGCTTTCATCGGATTTTGGAATGTCTACGTCGTTCTCATCGAGCCATTCAACATCATGGTGCTCTAAATTTTGAATAATGGACATTAGCTCGACGAGCAGCGACTCTTACAGGTCTAACTTTCCTATCAGTGTGCGTGTTTACTTTTTTTATGGATATTTTCGATGTGACGATTTAGTGACTTGACGTAAGCATGATAAAGACCACACGTTTTGCATGTTCGACTTGATAACCTCAATTTTACCGTCGGACAAAAATACTCGTAGGGCATTTGCAGGAAATCTTTGAGTGAACCACTTAAGCGTAGAGCTAAATTGACTGGAAGATTAAGAAATTGCCCACCTTCATCCAAAATCAAGTCATCAACTGTTTGTTTTACTTTTACAGATGGTGGAAGAAAACTATTGTCTAGTAATCTAAATAGGCCACTTCTTGGACGACAGCATTCTGTATTTCTACATTTTACAATTTGAAGCAAGTATTGGCTCTCGCTCACATGTTCTGAATACCATTTAATGTCTGGAAAATCAGGAAGCTCTTGTTCACCTGCCCAAACATATTTTGCATTTACATTATAGCCATCAATTTACATTGAACTACATACTTCAGCTAATACATTTCCTGCAAATTCGAAATTAGATCTTTCTAAATGTTCATCAATTGTAACGCCACGTTCATCCAAATGAGACCCAAAATGGTCATGAGGCTATATTAAACCAGCCAGTTCCCGACTAAGAGGAGCAATTCTGCGCTCTAATCTGTTATACGCACTTCTTCCAGGAGAATTGATAGCTAAAAACAATGCAACGAGATCATGTCGCTTAAAGTGTTGTATAGCAAACTCTATGACTTTTTGGTAACGTGGATTTTCATCTGGCGCTCCATCAACCGTCATAATTACCACTGGTTTTACTAGTACATGGTCAGTTTTAGTTAATGGTCGAAACTCTTCAAGTTCGAGAAGCGTCTCGAAATCCTGAGCATGAGTATTAGCAGTAGATGAACTATGCTTTCCACATCGAATAGCGATGTATGTTGGTCCAGAATATCCAACGGCTTGCGGTTGTCCTAGCATATTGAAAGTGATTTTGATACTAGCATAAACAGATGGTATTAATTTATGACGCTCAGCGATTACCCAATCGTGATCAGGCAATTTGATTCTATATTCCATGTGCATTAGAAGAAGTGCTTGCTTATTTGCCGCAGATACGCCAATAGGGACTCGAGCTTTATCATCTTGAGATATGAAAAATACTTGATCTGGTCCAACTATGGATGCATGTTCTCTAAATAATGGATTGATGTTTCAGCGAACTTGCTATCCAAGTGGCTCTTGTGGTGATCAGTTTGAGCCCGAATAAGCTTAACAGGGACTGTCGATACATGTCTTCGTCCGCCTGCAGAATTAATTTTCTGCGAATCAAACGAAGATATGTCCCACTGCGACTAATGTCAAATCCTATTTTACGTAATTCTTGTGTGAGCTCATCAAGAGTTTTTACGTTGCGAATTGATTCCGTTCGCCTTCTATCATCTGCTGCACTCCCAAATAAATCTATATCCGCGATTGTTTTCAATAGTGAATTGTGATTGCTTTCAAGATTAGGACGTCCAACTGAATCCCTCAGAGATAGCCTTTTTTTAATTTCTGGATTTTCTTGACAAATATCTTCTAACTTTCGTTTCATACCATCCCTGTGTTTCTTCTGGGCAACTGCGTTTTGAACCTTCCTGTTTAAAGACCCCTATTACTTTCTGTTTGGTCCTTGATTTGTTGAAATGATGTATAGTCGGAACTTCAAACTTCGTTTTTAGAAAACTTTATTTGATTCCAACTATAGCGTACATGAACCGAACCGGAATTACAGTGTGTGTGTTCGCTGTGACTGAGATTGAATGACTGATTCATAATTAAGATACAATCGTTAATATACTAAGTGACATATAAATCCGAACACCCAGTTTAAATGGTTTTATTTTAAAGAAGTTGGTGAATGTATTTATCTTACTGTAAGTAACAAGTGAAAAAATGTTCAGCCTTATCAGTTGGACATTCCGGTTTTTATAATGCTTTTTTTTAATTCACTAACGCTCTAAAAATGAATATTTCAGCCGCAGTAAAGAATCAACGTTGGCGGATTTTGGTTCTTGACATCCTTTACGATCGGTTACGATGCCTAGAGTACGGAGACCTGTACGATTTCGTCAACTTAGTGAGTTTGATAGGGGCCGTATAGTGGGAGTTCGGGAAGCTGGACTTTCTTTTCGGGCAATTGCAGTTAGAGTGCAAAGAAAGGTAGACACGGTGGTTAGGTGTTGTCAGTCATGGCTTCGAGAAGGCCGTACGCAAAGAGCAAGGGGCACTGGACGCCGCCGTAGAACAACAGACCGTGAAGATCGCCACCTAAGATTATTGGCTTTAAGGGACCGTTTCTCCACTACCAGGTCCATTGCAAATGAATGGTTTGCAGAACACGGAAGACCTATTGGCATGCGAAGTGTTTACCGACGAATGAGAAGTTTTGGCTTGTTTTCATACCGGCCACACTGGGTCCTCCCTTTAACTCGAGAACACCGACGTAATCGCCTTGAGTGGTGCAGACAACGGTCACTCTGGGATCAGGAATGGGACAGTATTGTCTTTAGTGACGAGTCTCGATTTTGTTTAGGCATGCACGATGGTCGTGCCAGGGTTAGAAGGCGACGTGGTGAAAGGAGGAATCCACAGTTTTTTGTTGAAAGACATGTTCATCACACTGTTGGAGTTATGGTTTGGGGTGCTATAGCTTATGGTTCCAGTTCACCTTTAATCTTCATCAGAGGTAACATGAACGTGCAGCGTTATATCCACGAAGTTCTAGAACCCCATCTTTTACCCTATCTTGACACCCTGGCAGATCCAACTTTCCAACAAGATAATGCCCGACCACATGTTGCAAGAGTCACAATAGACTTCCTTCAACATCATGATGTCACATTGTTACCATGGCCACCAAGATCTCCCGACTTATCTCCAATTGAGCACGTGTGGGATATGATGGGTAGGAGATTGCTCAATTTGCAACGTCCTCCTCAGACTCTAGAAGCACTTCGAGAGGAGTTGGTGGTTGCCTGGAATGAGATACCACAGGAGGACATTGACCACCTGATCAGAAGCATGCCTAGGCGCGTTGGAGAATGCGTAGCACATCAGGGTGCATCCATACATTATTAAAGGTCAAAGAGCTTTAAAGCAGTGAAATCATTTTGAAATTTTTATCATTTACTTATTATGCTTCATTAAGTACTTATACAAAATTTTATTAAAATAAAACCATTTAAACTGGGTGTTCGGATTTATATGTCACTTAGTATATAAACCAAAAGTGATGCGCTAGTAAAAAGGAATACAATGCAATTATTATATCAATTAATAAAGTGTTAAATGACAGCAACATAACTCATGCTTTGGTAACTGGTAAGTTGCGGAATTTCAGGCAAACTTGCATGAAAAATCCAACTGATTGATGTTCATGCAAGACGCCGGTATTTGCAATAACGTAACAGGAAGAATCAGTTGGTTTGTTAGTGCGCATGTTTCTGATCAACATTTTTTTGCTCTTGCTGGCTGTAAAACGGGTATTATACATTAGATTTTTGAGACCTTTAATTTTGTTGCTTATTTCTTAAGGGCCGTATCGTCAGTCGTTCCTACAATTGTAGGACGCCTCTATGGCCTCCTAGATTTTCATTTTCTCTCCTTCAGAAAGGCTTGGGTATTTCCAGATTTCTACTGTTCCGTGTCAGCGTCAGCGCTGCCCTATTATGATTTGATGCAACTAGGAACTTGTAACATAACCTCAAAATAGAGCGCTGACACAAAACAGTAGAACACTATGAAAATCAAGGAGGCCACATAAAGGTGTCATACAATCGTAGGAACGGCTGACACGATACGGCCCTGAGCTTCGTACCTCCGTATCCATGATAACAAGCGTAAACAATCCAACATAATCCAGCCGTCCATGAACTTCTGGATAGAACATAGTAGTATGCTTGAGCAGTAGGTCCTTGGTATACTTCAGCATCTTGGTAGTAGAACATCGATATGAACATTTCTGTTAGCACAAACATCCAGATGAAAAAGCTTAACGTCTAAAAGATTTTTTTAAAATAGTCTCATAGAAGAATCACATTTAAGGTTCACCATGTTCTCGTAGTTATTTAGAAACTTACCGAGCGATACTTTCTTTCCACGAAACATAGAAAAGGTACGTCCATTCTTTTTCTGAAGAAGATACCAAGCATCATACCAAGGAAATAATCTATTAGTCTTGAATGTGTATCAAACACGCTAAAAATTAATTTGTATGCAGTATGATTCAGAAAACGTTGAACATGTAAACATGGGTAACAAAATGCTGCCTAACTAAGACTCAGAGTGTTGGGGTTGTAATTGCAAAATGGAAAAGAAACAATTATATCTTTGGAGACGATTAGTTAAGAAGTTTTGACCTCCAGATTGGAACAAGGAAATAACTTCCTACGCCAGTGACTTTTGATGGTATTCCTTTTGGGGAAAATTGGTTTGAATATTTGAGGTAGAATTCGGATAACAAACAAGTTCTACTTTGAAAATGTGTTGGAGTTAGTGAATTTGACATTGAATATTGTATGTAGTGCATGAAGAAAATACCTCATAATAGTATTTGAACAATATCCATGCTTTGTCCTTATTCAGCCTCATGAGTGGCATAGAGATTCACAACACCCTGAATCTTGGTGATGATACATTTTAGGATATATTTATAGGAAATTTATTAGTCACTTTTTGAAGGATCGTCTCTAGAAGTATTCCCATTACTTTCTGAATTACCCTGTACATAGTGACTCACTATTTGTTATCCAAATCTGGAATAAAATCTACCAAAGTAGCCTCCCCCCACAATAAGAAACCCATATTACAGTATACATGGCAAAGGCAAAAATACGAGAAAAAAATTCGCTATAGTTCATGGGCCTGCATTTGTAATTTTTATGCAAAATTTGAGATACTTATCTCAAAGACGGTTAGTCTTCGATATATTACGATGTATATGAAATGTATTTAGAATATCGCGTAAAATCCAAAAATTGAAAAATATGCAGAGTGTTTCTATTTAAAACAGACAAGTTAGTGTATGCTGCCGATACAACCAGAAGTGATAAGAAATTTCCGTAACTTTATGGTAATTATTTTAGTAAACGATTTTCGCAGCTCTACGTAAGTCGCCGATCAAGTATTATAATATTTGTAATAACCGAAAAACCTACTCGTAACAACTGTTTTAACATTTTGAAATTATTTTTGACAAGTATCGACTGTATGCTTGTTATACAATCACATAAATAGTTTACTGAATTGATCACGTATATAGAATGTGCTTCGTATTCAATTACTTTTTGAATTCAGTAAACTGAAGCCTTACGACAATTGGCATGACGATCCAAAATATATTGAGCAGCAGAAGTATTATCATAGCTGCTCGTAATCCTCTTTTCTTAGTCAGTACGACAGAAAGTGGTATCAGAAATATCGGTGATATCAGGAACATCTGCATATCGGCTGAGAGGTACCATGTGTGGACCAAACACTAAAATAAAAAAATACTCTTATTTTCTAAAAATCAGAAATTCACCTCAATACAGAAATGTTAGATAGCAGAACCAGAAACAACAAAAGAAGTTAACAATAACGTCTTGACCTTTGGCCTATCTCAACTATCGTATTTCTAATAAACGTGTCTTACCAAGTCATCCCAATTGACATAGTTCTGAAGAAAAAGGAAATATGACCACCAATATCTCTTGCAAGGTGAGAGTACTTTTTCAATCACTAAATTCCACATTGGACCAGAACCAGTTACTGGAAATATCCACCTTCCAAATATGTACAGGGCACATACTGAAGGCGCCAGCCTACGAAAACGTAATAACGTAATCAGTAAAGTTGAAAGTAATTTAATATGTAAGGTCTAAATATCGCATTCCTTATTAATAACTCTCTAGCAAATGTAGCTGTCATACAGAGTCAGATTACCTTAGTATTCTATGGATATAAAGAAATGGCAAGCTCTTCAATTGATAGGCGAGCGATCTCTTTTCTTTGAAGTAAAGGAAGGCAAGAAGAAATCCAGACATGAAGAAAAATGTATCCACTGCCATATGAGCACCATCCAGATAACTTGAGCTTCGGTAGTAATGGTACTGAAATTATAGGACTAAACTTACAAATTAAAAAATCAATATACCCGTATATCGCATCCAAATCCAAGAGTGAGAGGATCTAAATACAGTCATGAACTGTGCGCGCGATACACGAAAAATGAAGAATTGAGTTGTAATCGGAACCATATTGCGACGATACCCAACATTTTGTGGATTACAAATGCAGACGAAGCAGAGCTTTAGAGTAGTTGAAGTAAGTAACTTGATTGAATACATCTCATAAAATTTGACCAGATCATGAGATGTATTGGCCAGATCATGATGCGCTTTGACCAGATCAATTATAACCATTCGCTTATCGATATGATCAACCAAACGCGACTATTTGATCAAATCATGAAATACTCGTAATTACATTAATTACCGATGGCAGCGCCTTGTTTACATGTCAATATAGTGGCCGTTAATAACAGCATTGGTTTTCTAAGTGAACATTCTGATAATTAGTTACTGAATGAGGAAGAAAGTAAAATTACAGGACTTTACGACAAAAAGATAATTGAGTACTATGCGAATTTCTTTTGGGTGTATTGACACCCTATTTTACGATATGGTCAATCATGGATGACCAAGTCGTTAAGCATTCACGATTTTACGATATGTTAGATCATGGATGACAAAATCGTTAAACGTTGACGACTTAATGATATGGCCAATCATGGATGACAAAGTCGTTCAAATTTGACGTCTTTACTATATGATCAATGATGGATTATAAAATCGTTGAAAGTTGACGATCTCACGATATGGTCAATAATAGATGATGAAATTGTTAAACGTTGATGATCCTACGATATGGTCAATCATGGATGACCAAATCGTTAAGCGTTCACGATTTTACGATATTTTAAATCGTGGATGACAAAATCGTTAGACGTTGACGGTTTGACGATATGGCCAATCATGGATGACAAAGTCGTTAAAAGTTGACGTCTATACGATATGGCCAATCATGGATGACAAAATCGGTAAAAGTTGACGATCTCACGATATGGTCCATCATGGATCACCAAATCGTTGAAAGCTCAAGATTTTGCGGTATGGTGAATCATGAGTGACAAAATCGTCAAACGCTGACGATTTTACAATATGGTCAATCATGGATGACAGAATCGTTGAACGTTGGTGATTTTATGATATTGTCAATCAAGGGTGACAAAATCGTTGAACGCTTACTATTTTACGATATGGTCAATAATGGATGGCCAAATCGTTGGCCGTTGACGATCTTACAATATGGTCACTCATGGTTGACCAAATCATTAAACGTTGACTATTTTATGGCATGATCAATCATGGATGACAAAATCGTTGAACGTTGACGATTTTATGATCTGGTCAACAGTAAACATTAATGATCTTAGGATTGTACAATATGACCAATTCTGAATGACCAAATCATTAAGCGTTGATAATTTTACGATGTGGTCTAATTTAGTTGCTTATTTATAGATGAACAATCGTAATATACTAAGTGACATATAAATCCGAACACCCAGTTTAAATGGTTTTATTTTAATAAAATTTTGTATAAGTACGTAATGAAGCATATAAAGTAAATGATAAAAATTTCAAAATGATTGCACTGATTTAAAGCCCTTTGACCTTTAATAATGTGTGGATGCACCCTGATGTGCTACGCATTCTCCAACGCGCCTAGGCATGCTTCTGATCAGGTGGTCAATGTCCTCCTGTGGTATCTCATTCCAGGCAACCACCAACTCCTCTCGAAGTGCTTCTAGAGTCTGAGGAGGACGTTGCAAATTGAGCAATCTCCTACCCATCATATCCCACACGTGCGCAATTGGGGATAAGTCGGGAGATCTTGGTGGCCATGGTAACAATGTGACATCATTATGTTGAAAGAAGTCTATTGTGACTCTTGCAACATGTGGTCGGGCATTATCTTGTTGGAAAGTTGGATCTGCCAGGGTGTCAAGATAGGGTAAAAGATGGGGTTCTAGAACTTCGTGGATATAACGCTGCGCGTTCATGTTACCTCTGATGAAGATTAAAGGTGACCTGGAACCATAAGCTATAGCACCCCAAACCATAACTCCAACAGTGTGATGAACATGTCTTTCAACAAAAAACTGTGGATTCCTCCTTTCACCACGTCGCCTTCTAACCCTGGCACGACCATCGTGCATGTCTAAACAAAATCGAGACTCGTCACTAAAGACAATACTGTTCCATTCCTGATCCCAGAGTGACCGTTGTCTGCACCACGCAAGGTGATTACGTCGGTGTTCTCGAGTTAAAGGGAGGACCCAGTGTGGCCGGTATGAAAACAAGCCAAAACTTCTCATTCGTCGGTAAACACTTTTCGTGCCAACAGGTCTTCCGTGCTCTGCAAACCATTCATTTGCAATGGACCTGGTAGTGGAGAAACGGTCCCTTAAGGCCAATAATCTTAGGCGGCGATCTTCACGGTCTGTTGTTCTACGGCGGCGTCCAGTGCCCCTTGCTCTTTGCGTACGGCCTTCTCGAAGCCATGCCTGACAACACCTAACCACAGTGTCTACACTTCTTTGCACTCTAACTGCAATTGCCCGAAAAGAAAGTCCAGCTTCCCGAAGTCCCACTATACGGCCCCTATCAAACTCACTAAGTTGACGAAATCGTACGGGTCTCCGTACTCTAGGCATCGTAACCGATCGTAAAGGATGTCAAGAACCAAAATCCGCCAACGTTGATTCTTTACTGCGGCTGAAATATTCATTTTTAGAGCGTTAGTGAATTAAAAAAAAAGCAGTATAAAAACCGGAATGTCCAACTGATAAGGCTGAAAATTTTTTCACTTGTTATTTACAGTAAGATAAATACATTCACCAACTTTTATTAAAATAAAACCATTTAAACTGGGTGTTCGGATTTATATGTCACTTAGTATATATGGCAGCGACGTATACACACGTACGAAAGACATAACCTTCCTTCTGAGACAGTCAGGTAAACTCCCTCAGATTTTCGCAATATTCGATCTGTATCACATTCACAATAAGCACAGCCCTAACCACCTGTTGCTGAGCAATCAAGTCAACATGTTTGCTGTTCCACTCTATCTTAGATTTGGACGTCGTATAGTTGAGCGCCTCTCCACATAAATATTAGTGAATGGCGTCACTCTTATTTGAGAAACATGTAAATCGAGTACCTACTTCTTCAAGATAGTCCTTATTCATGACAGGAACTACCGCCATGGAGTTAGCTTCAGTACCTTGACCCCATAGAAGAACGGCATGCCCAGCAATTATCCACATCATACTGATAACTCTTAGACCATTCAACACTTCAATTTGGTATTTCGTTGCCACAGAGGTTGAAAATAATTTTCTGCCGTTTGTAAACATTGAAAAAGCTATCAGAAATTGAGTTTCACATTCTAGAAAATAAAAACTAGGTAAATGAAGTACCAGTAGTGACTGCCTGAAAACAAAATAAATCACTCAACAAATAACTAAATAATAATTGGAATACTTTTATTCTCTATAAGCCTGAAAAGCTAGGCCGTTTTGTATTTTTTGGTTTTCCAACATCATGGAATAGTCACTTTAGTATTTTATACTTACTTTTTGCTCCTAGATATAAACAAATGTCGTAAATTGTACTTAGGACCATGAGCGATAACCAAAATATAAAACCCATTCTGAAAGCAACGTCACCATATTGAAACTACTTTATTTTTCTTTTTGGATGAGAACTTACATAACAATCACATTTGCTCCAGTCATTTCTTCATTAGTTTCTTTTGTCGTACAAAATTCGTCTCTTATAATGGGCGGAAAGTCTTTTACAAAATAACTCACTACTTTTGTAATGTCTTTACTAGAACATTTATCTGGTAGGCATGTTGACAGCTTGAAAGCTAACTAGAAGTTAAAATTATTAATATTAATGATTTTAGTTCTTTTCGCGGTTTTAATGTTATACGAAATAAGTACACCAATTGACTAACGGTACCGTGTGCGTATTTTAACTTCCATAAGGAAAATTGCACAGAGCGCAAGCCTCTACGAAACTGCTACTTGTACTTGTATACACAAATAGAATTTGTGTAAGTAGTTGCATACCCGGGCATTGCTGTGTTTTATATAAGATCAAAAAAGTTAACGCAAATCAAATACTTTTGATCTACACAAATGCTTAGCAATTAGCTGAAAGTCATATAAATTCTGAGGAAGTTAGTAGAAGAAAATTTAACAACTCCCCAACCGATACCAAATAATTCAACAAGTAACTTTAAGAAATCTACACAGGCTTTGGAATTCTTTTCGCAGTCAGAGATTTCGATGTATGTTGAAAGGACGCCATATACAAAGTAGCCAATAGCATCATATAGAATAGGAAGCATGATATCCTTGTCACGTAACTGCAAGTATAACATTGCAATGTATTATGTCAGAATGCATTTTTTGACAAATCATACTAGATACTACCCATCAGTGGCTAGCACTAGCTGTTTGAAACGCACGGGTAGTATGTAAAAAACTTATAAAATGTCACTTGGAAGACTAGGTAGTTTTTAAGGTGCAAACAGTCATTCCACGTTTGCACACTAGAGTCGTTGTGAGCCTCCATCTGTGGACGAATGGATCAACTATAGGTCTACTCGCATTGTTGGTTGCATATGTTTTGTGAAGCCGAGTAGTCTATAGTTTTCATATCTGAGAATACGGTTGAATAACAACAACATCGCTTCTGGATGATTGTGTGTATTGGTCTGCATGTGAATAAAATCAGTGATATTTGCTGCCAATGAAGTATATCTATTAGCTGTGCTCGACGGGTTATAGATATGTTGTCCTTTCTGCAGTCAGGTTATGTTCAAAGTAATACATTACGATTTTTTATGTTTTTTGTGTTGTCAAAAACTTTGAGGTGAATTACGGAAAGTCGCCAGCGAGCCTGCGTTGTGTGTAGTTACAGTTAGTATGTATTTATGACTTGTAATTCGAGAGTGTACAGTGAAAATAAGTATTTCTTATCTGTCACTTCTGAAATTTAGCAAATTTGCATATGTAATCTCCAGAATGCATAAGCAAAACTGGATGCGCAACTAATTTCTAGCTGTGAATCTCGAGTAGGTGTATTTGACACAAGAATCCAATGGAATTATCATCAACACATATTATTAGCACACAAATCCTCACTATGCATTGCCGTTACCTCCAGTAATGCTATCTCTGAAGCAGATTTTACATCACAGAGTCAAAGAAATTTGATAACTGAAGCCTCATGACAATTAATCAACAGGTACAACTACAAAACGAACTCACAACGTGTCAGTCACCTAGTTCTAAGAAGAAGAACCTACCATGCGGCACGGGTATTACGTATCTTGAAAACATTATGTCGATGTTTTTTTTTTGACATTATACTGTTTTTTTACATTATGTAGGTTTTTGTACAAGATGTTAACTTAGCACTTAAATGTACGTGTTGTCTAAACGTCATGAGGCTTCTTATCAATGTTTGGCTCTGATGTTATGTAAAATCTGCTTCAGAGATGGCATTACTGGAGGTCTAACATGTAAGTGGTATGTGTTGATGATAATTGCATTGGATTCTTGTCTCAAATACACTTACCTGAGATTCAAAACTAGAAATTAGTTGCGCATCCACCTTTTTTTATCGATTCTGGAAATTACATATGCAAACTTGCTGAATTTAAAAAAAAAAAGAGAGATAAAAAATAATTATATTCACTGTGTACACTGTCGAATTACAAGCCATATACATATTAACAGTAAATACACACAACGCGGCCGCGATGGTGATTTTCTAAAAGTTGTTCGTAATTTATAACTTTGAACATAACCTCTCTTCAGAAAGCACAACACAAATAACTCGTCGGGCATAGCTAATAGATATACTTCATTGGCAGCATATTCAGTAATGATTTTCTCTCACAGCAAATATCACTGATTTTGTACACATGCAGACGAATACACATAATCATCTAGATGCGATCTTGCTATTCAAACAACTTTCTTCTCAGAAAACTTCAGACCACTCGGCTTCACAAAACATATGCAACTAGCAATATGTGCAGTTTAGTTGAGTCATTCCTCCATAGATGGAGGACGCTCACAACGATCCTAGTGAGCAAACGTGGAATGACTGTTTGCACCCTAAAAACTATCTAGTCTGCAAGATGAGATTTTGTAGGGTTTTTTAACGTTTTATAGGTTCTTTACATAATACCCGTGCGGGACTTCCATAGTCTATATGGTTTTTCATACAGGACGTTTCGATTGATAGGCCAGCATCAGGTGAACTGGCAAACATACTCTATTTATACGTATACTGTTTGATGACGTGTTCGGTGATTGGTTGCGACATGTCCCTTGTTCCGGTTGGTTGAGGTGCAATTTTTATTGTTCTTGCAATTATTTGGCATACTGCTTTAATTTCCACTCTTGGATTACTGGAAACATTTTAATTTGTTGATATGAAGGCCGCTTCCTCGAATTTTCTCCGATGTTAGTATGTTTCTTTAGGCAATATCTTAGCATCATTTTTGTTTATCCTATGTATATCTCCCCACATTCACATGGCACTCGGTATGCACAATCCTTGGTGTTATGAGTTTCGTGTATAGGTTTTGTCCTTGTGAGGATATTGCGAAGTGTGGTACTCCTTGAAAGTCTAGTTTCGATTTGGTATCGTTTTCGTATTCTTCTGATTCCAATACTTGTTCATTAAGCATATGGTGGAATAAGTCAATGCTGTGATTCATTCCGCATCTTTCTACTCTTGTCGATATTATTTTCTTACATAACTTCATTTATCAGTCATCTTGGGTAGCCATTTATTACTATGTAATTGATTTCTTACTGGAGATTTGTTTGCGTGTTACAGATATTCTCTGTCCGGTCGATGAAGGTTCCAGTTACTCCTTTCTTCATGGTTGCTGGATGACGGGAAAAGAAATTTAGGTATCGTCCTGCATGTGTTTGTTTCCTATATACAGTGTTTTCTATTCGGAAATTATCCTTTGTTACCATGACGCCCCGAAATGAGAGGCCGTTGCTGATATTTGCTTTCCTTGTAAACTTTATCGAAGGTATTAGATTGCTCAGGTATTCGAAGAAGGCTTATAGTTTATCTTTTCCATGGTTCCAGATTACGAAACATCGAAGTATTTATTGGCCATTGACTCAAGGATGCGGCACTCAAATTATAAATGAATGGAAATGCTTACATTAATGCAAGTGTCTAAATTAAAGCAGTATGGTAACTGATCGTAAGAAAAATTAAAATAGACAGAAATGAGCATGTTCGCCACTCCACTTGATGCTGATTGAAGATTACCTATGAATCGATCAATCGAAACGTCGTAAATCAAAAAATCTTATAGACAATGGACGGCCGAGGAATTTGAATCATCCACATTGTCTTCGAATTTTAAACATCAGTACAAGCTGTGTATGCCGCCTAGTTTGAAAATTGCGATACTTCACCTACAAATAGGGTTTTATCCTTCAATCGTTTCTTATCATCTTGAAACCCCATTTATTTGAGAAATAGATTTACTTACGTTTATGTCACTGACATTGGTAATATCAGGTATAATGAGACCTGCAAAGCAGTGTTTCCCAATAACCCTTCCATCTTCATACACAAGCTCTGTATTGATACATTCGTCGTAATGGCCAAGGTGGAACCTATTCGATGTTAGCATCCCGGTATATGGAAATTTTGATGATGCATCAAGTACTACAAGAAAATAACTAGTTATATGTTTTTTCATATACTCATGGAGTTTGGTTCTTAAGTACCATCACTTGGGTCTCCTTATTCCAAACATGTCTTATTTTTTTGATAGTAATAACTCCAGGGCATCCTTATTGAACAACCTTTCCCAAAAATGCAATAGTCTATCTATTTTATGATAAAACAACCGTGGATCGGAAAAAGTCACCTTCTTTGGCATGTGACGACTCTACTGTTAGCCCCAAGTGACAATTCATACGAGGCTTCCCTCGCAATATGAGGGTCTTAAGGAACAACCATGTATTCGACCCTTGCCTATGAAATATTTTAGACGAAAAATATCTAGACGTATTCTGAACCTATGTGGAGTTCTGTATACAAGGAGTAGAATTATTTTTCGTGAATATCCTATAAGCTTATAGGTGTCGTTACTTCATGTCAGGTATTCTTAGCATCCTCACTTCCAGATTCAAAACGAGAGGAGCACAAGCGCAGATCCAGGGGGGTCATGGGGGTATGGCCCTCCTCCTAGGCGTATCTAGTTTGACCGATAATATTTATGGCTTTCCAATCTCTTTGATAAATTTAATAAAATACAGCCTTTTTGCAAATATGTAATGGATACGAACGTGTAAAAATCATCAGATTTGGTGCACAATATCCACACCTGGCAATCCTGATCAGTTTCTAAGCGCATAGATGAGGGCGTGGAAATGAGATGGTTGCGTAAATCTGGTTGCCTATAAGTTCTGCTTGACGCAAGTAGAAATCAAATGTGATTCTGCGTTTTTCAGCTCATGTGTTCTGTGATTAAGGTAGTTAATTGAAAGTTAAGACATTGGGACAGGAATATAAGAAAAACACCTTTTTGAGCGCGCCTTTAACGCTGTAAGCAGATTTGATAAAAATACTTTTTGACGGACGAAATCAGAGATAAGTGGTTTCATTATTCTACTATATCTATACTACGTACTACGTCATGTAATGAGTTTCTCCCAAATATGGGGCAAGGATGCAATGGGTGACTGTTGGGACTATTGTGAAACTGTTGTATTTGATCCTTTCGATGTGCGAAACACCTCTTGTTTTTGGAGTAGGCCCTAAAGGTGACGTAGTTGAAAATAGGTTTTTCTTAAAAACAAATTTCACATATCGTCGCTTAAGTTTTAACATCGCGTAATTTAAAAAATGGCGTCATCAAGATATGCACACCATTCAATAGAATCCAATGATCCGCGGTTTTTTTGCTATTTTAAAAATTCGTCAGCGTTAGAACTTATATAAGTGATATAATCCAACAAAAACTACTAACTTATTTAATCCACCATAAAAACCGCCATAATATTGCTATTTTTTATGCGTTTCTATCATAAAGAGTTAAAAATAATATTTTTGGAAATTGGAACATGCCTTGACAGTGTTGACTGTTCCATCTACATCAATATAATGCTACGGGCCGTTGTTTCAAGAAATTTAATGATTGATTTCGATATCAACCGTTTTAAAGGAAAAATATCCGTTGTTTTTCAGGTTGCTGATGACGAATATCTATTATGAGAATTATCAAATTTCAATTTTTATAAAACTGTAACAAAGTCATAACGCTGTTTCACTCCAAAGCCCTAGAAGAGTTCGGCATCACCCCACTTCCCGAGACGAATATCTTCTTGAAGATCAATCCTGCAACCCCCCTAACACAAATGCTAGATCCGTTCTTGGAGGAGCATAAGATAAGGTATGCTTTATCTACACTTCTTTACTTACATCTTAGTGCCACAGTCTTGTTCCGACAAATTTGCGTCAGTTGTTCAGCGCATCTCCTGTTGACACCCAAGGACATAAAACTCAAATCACACACCAAGCTTAGATCAGGTTGACCCCGACCCACTTCGTTCATCAGATTTGACACCCATTGAACGATTTGCAATAAGTTGGTTGTTGCGTTTTTTCCGTTGATGGAACTGGCACTTAATAAACAGAAGAAAACAGAACCCAAGTGCATGTTCATGTTTACTACCGCATAATCAATGGACACGCTCAAGAACGTTCACATTATTTGCCCTAGGAATTGGTACGGAAAATATTAACACATCAGAGATAAGTAATTCGGGCAGATAACAAGATGCTATTGTTCTTTATTATCTTCAAACAGGTGTATTTGGCGTTGAGTCAACATCAGGCTTTCACTAGAAAATGATCTTCTTGTACATAAGCTCGATTCTATGGTTCACGTAGTTCAAGCGTTGCCTTGAGGATATGTTGTATGGATGCTAAAAACGCGGAGAACAGGGCATACTCTCCCAACTCCGCACTTTCTCACATGACATGATCGCTTTGACAGCTACCTGAAGAGGGTAGGAAACGGAGTGTACGCCAACTGCGCGTGTTGCATCGAGTATGATGCTCCTGACCATCTACTCGAATGTTGTAAATGTCCTTATCACTAGAGGCAGCTGTAATTAATTTAGTAAACAACAATTTGAGAGATAGAGAAAGTGAAAAATCCTCCATTCCGTGGAGCCGACCTAACCAATTAGTCTACAGCAGGGTTTCTCAACCTTTTTTTTTTGTTGAGGCTCCCCGGACTATAAATTATATTTTCATGCCCCCTTTACTTTTTCAATAAATACAAGAAAACGCACATTATATATAGTCCAAAGACTTTTATTTTAATTCTAATAAAGAAACTTTAAAAGTTTAAATGAACTAATAAATGCTTTTTATCGAAAAACTTGAATAAAACAACAGTAGGTACTAATGACACACTTGAGATTGCATGTTCCGTACCAGTTGGTTGATTCTAGGTTCTGTTTTTGCCAGAGCTATCATCAGGTCGCTATCGATATCAAGAGCAGAAAAGCCTGTCTCACATAAGTAAGTTGAAGAAAAAGGAACTAGTATTCGTAAAGCAAGAGAGGCAAGTGTCGAATTAACAGGCAATCTTTTGATCCAAAATCCAATGTTAAAAGATAGAAGTCATCTTTCATGGATAATCAGCATTCATTTATAGAAATTCTTCCTGAACTTCTTCTGGTAATTACGACACATCAACAACAATTGAATTTCTTGTCATGTGCGATATTGGTGACTCTGAATTGATGTCTCGATAGTATCGGCGAAATTCGTCTTCCAGCGCTTGCAAATGAGTTTTTATGTCAGCTTTTAAATTTGCGTCCAGTATGTTACTTTTAATTGCTTCGAACAGCCGAGAAAAGATATAAAATTTTCAGAAGACACTTTTTGATTCCAAAGTTGAAGCTTTGATATGAACCCCTGAGTATAATCATAATTGCTTCTGCCCTGAAGTGTCAAGCTTAGCATATTCAAGGAGTCAAATATGTCAGTTAAATAAGCCAACCTCCATTGAAATGTGTCATCTTTGAACATTGTCAAGAAATCGTGTTTTTCTTTGAACTCAAGAAAAACAATTACCTCATAAAGGCGAGCCAACATATTGCCTTTAGATAGCCAGCGTACTTCTGTATGGAACACATGAAGGAACTTTGTGATCAGAATCGAGATCGCTAATTAAAGTAAATAACCGACTGTTCAAAGCGTTGATGTAGTTTACAACCCTTATAGGTCCTTATAGGTCCAAAGTCTGGTGTAATTTCTATGGCAATGTTTTGGAAGCCAAAGCTTACCGATGAATAACACAATGTGTACTAACCATTGCGGGATTTTTTCATTGAGCTTTTTAGCTAAGCCCGATTGCAGGTGCGCCATCTGTGCAAAGTCCAATGATTTTGTTCCGATCAAAATCATTTTTTTCAACAAAATTTGATATTAAATTAAATATATCTTGTAGTACCTGCTGTCGAAGATTGGGAGTACGAAATCTCTTCTTGGCTATCTCCGCAGATGTAACGAGCGCAAAATATTAATTGTGCACAATTAACGAAGTAGGTGGATTCATCACAACTAATAGCAAAAAATGGCGCTAATTTTACTTTGTTAATTATTTGTGACTTTATGCCTGCTGCAATTTCATCAATTCTACGCTTGACTGTGTTATTCGTTATTCTCCTAAAATTATCTGCGTGGCTTTTAGGAAACATGGTTTTATTAATTCTTCGACAATAGTATTAGGTTTATTTTACTTTGCGATCATAAAAGCTTTTTCAAATAAAGCTTTGAGATGCTGCGATACACCTGTGTGATAACTTCCCGATTTATCCAGTCTCATCCGCTTGAGTGATTCTTTTTCTATGAACGTAAATCCAAACTTAACGTATTCTTCGGAGAACTTTCCTTTTTTTTGCTGTCATTTTGCACCTATAACAATAAAACAAATAAGTAATAAATAAGTAAGCAAAATACCTACGTGTAATTACTAATTATGTGCCCACTATTTTATCTTAGTAACGTAATATATTCAACAGTATATTGGCTACCGGAAGAATTATATTTTTGTAGGCAGGTTGACATTATAATAGTAATTTTAAATACATTTGGAATCAATATTAGGTACTTAAAGTTCGTCGTTTCAAAATTATTTCGCCACGTTGGTTTGATTGTTCTGTGGTAAAAAAGTCCTTAATGGCCGATTTATGAACGCGTCTCCACTCAATCAACAATTTAGTAAATTAAATAAAAATGGTAACTGAAGATTGCAAATACACCAACTTACCTTTTAACAGTGAGACACAATAATTTGACACACTCAAACAAATTTCTCAACAACACATGTACATCGAAACGTCAAATGTTTCGCAACTTTGTGGGAATGAATCTCACAGATGCTCATCCGCATCTGGTAGGTACATAATTGTTTTCTAAGTGAATGTTAAGCGGAGCGCGGCGGGGGTGCGCGCGGATTTCGTGTTGTGACTTGTCGAAACTTGTATAAACTGCGATTGACGACGCCGGGCTTTGAAACAGCGGTTGACAGAATAAGTGAATATGATATTTAGTTTCTAATTCTATGCGTGTAAATTAAACATTACATTGAAATGTTATTTGTTAATTATGTTTGTTTATTTTTTGTTTTTTCTTTCTAAAATGTAAACGCTTTCCGCCCCCTTTGATATATCTCTATGCCCCCCTTGGGAGGCGCACCCCCCTGGTTGGGAACTCAGTCGGTCCAAACGGTGGATTCAGTCGTTCACGACGGGCCACTGACAATTCCTATTTCAGTTACTTTCACCACATGCGCAATAAAAACCCAATATTAATAGAATTATTGTTTATCAAATAATATTATGAACAAGCATACCGCATCTTAGGTTAGATAAAAAAACAAAATTGAATTTAGGTATGTATCTTCTCAAATCTAATTCTAGGGCATTCTAGAGTAAATCGTTGTTACAATCAATGTGATTTCTGCCATTGTTTGCCTTTTAATAATCTACTTATGTTTGGCGACAAACCCGATATTGACAGTAACAACAAGTCATAAATATGTTGCTCAGTTGATGATGTGCGGTATTCATTTTTTACATAATTAAGGTCTGAAGAAATCTTTTCACAGACAGAATTATGTTGATCCAAAACTACTTAGAAACTGTAACGCCAGGTCGTTTATTCCTGGAAATTCTGCTTTTGGTACCTGTTTCCAAATCTGCATAATCTTCTGAAGATTTTTGTGGTTTCGAAGACAATTTGTTGGCAAAAAGGTTTTTTAACATATCATGATTTTGCAGTACGAGTTCCAACTGAATATTGGCGGGATAACTAACTAGTACAGCCAAATATTATGAAAGGGTTTATAAAAATTTGTACATTTTGTCTTTTGCTTTCAAAGTCTTGGAATCTCCTCTCAAACGACTGTGACAAGCATCTAATTTTGGATTGGAATAATTAACAGTAGCAATATTGAGCTCCTATTTCAAATGCGCTAGTGTGGGGAAACGGTCCATATTTTCTGCAGCCAAATTAATTAAAAAGAGATTTAATTTTGCTTTGAATCTACTTATCCGATTAAACATAGTCGGAAGTGAACAATCTTTACCTTGTAATTTGAGATTAAAAATATTAAGGTAATTACAAACGTCAACAAGAAATGCAAGATCACTTGACCAGGATGCATTCTTCAGCAAATCAATTTCCAATGGTAAAGCCCCTTTCTGCTCTAAAAATTGCAACACCTGTTCTCTCAAGTTGAAGAAATGTTTCAACATGCTGCTCATTGGAAGCCATCGCACAGCACAGTACAGTTGTAACTCTCCTTATTCCCCGATTTCTTCTTCTTTCCTTTGCGGCTGACAGTTTGGCGGGATTTTTCGATTTAGTGCGTATTTCAAAACTTATTTGCGCGGGCCTTTCAAAATTCTTTCACGGGCCATGGCGTGGCTCGCGGGCCTTTGGTTGAGCACCCTTGGTTTACAGCACCAGCTACCAACCAACTTTCTAGATCGACTGCTAGAGGCAAATTCTGTTCTACCCACCCCACTGTCCCTTTGCTCCCTCTAGCTGCTTTGGTGCCCTATCTGGTGGAGTTCAAGTGAAACAACAGGATCGGTAAGGTGTCTCCTGTCGGTAAGGTGTCTCCTGCCGCTTTCTAGTTGCACCACGCCGCCTCGTGGGCACACACCACAGTATCACCGTGCAAGGAGAGTAAGTGAGAGCAAATGGGTTGACAGTCAAATATTAGCGAGGCGGATGATGCTTTAACCTTAAAGGGGTCATAAGTTATCTATAATCTGAGGATTAATTTAGATCTAACCATCGAAGATAATTTGCGTAACATGCTTTTTAAAATTTTGGCATCGGCAGTAATGCATTATACCGGGTTTTCAAATTCGATTCTCACTATTTTGATTTCAGTAAATTAAGAGATACGAAATCGGTTAAGTTGAGGGGTAAAGTTCCGTATTTAGCTAACTAAGATAGTTTCGCAACTCCGAGTATATGTGAAGATAGATGAAAGAAGACGAATCTTCCCATATCATTTTTATACTTTACCTGACTTTATTTACCATGGAATTTCGAAGTAAAGGTATTTTTGCCAATATAATGCGACATAATTAAAATTTCCATAAAGTATTACATTTCGCCTCTTGTACTCAACTTTATTTTCTCTTATAGACGCAATATTGAAGTTTTGTACAGGTGAAGAAGTTTTTAATTCTGATTCTATATGCATATATATATACAGGGTTGTAGAGGGCATAAAAATATGCAATTTTGCCTTATAAACCCCTGTTCGTAAATATGCCGTTCGAGCACTACCGCTAATTTTACCTTAAGAGCTCATAGGAGAAACAAAAAATTCACCAGATGCAAAATGTTCGTCTAGCACATTTCATGGTCTCGCCGGTTTGTAAAAAAAAGCCTGCTGTGTTTACTTTTTTGTTATCGTAAATTCTCCACACCGATTCATTTAATTTATCTGAGTGGTGCGTCAAACTAGATAGTAAATAACAGTACCTTAGTGTTAAAATTGAGAGATCAAACGAACTTACCTAAGTGAAGTTTAATCCTAATTATATGAGCCTCGCCGGAATAAATAAGGCTAAGTGTAGTAGCTCTGCTTGCAGTCAAATCTCACACAGTTCAACTCAAATTTTCTCACCCTGGATACAGTCCTGTCCTTCCGCCACTTCGTTGAACGCTCATACCTGTTCAAAGCTTTGTTGCAACATATTGGGAAGGGTAGAGTGAAGGCCGGGAGCTTATTTATTCCGGCGAGGCTAATATAATTAGGATTAAACTTCACTTAGGTAAGTTCGTTTAATCCCTCAATTATATTGCGCCTCGCCTTCATAAATAAGGCTAAGTGTAGTAGTTCAAAGTAAGTTACAACAATTTGTTTAGTATCATCAAGTTACATATGCGTAATTATATACATATTAGTAACTGCAATCTTAACAGTGATTTCCACTATTTCTCTATAGTGAACAAGAACAACTATTTCTAATTTCTTTAACATTAGGCACAACTGAACACTGCTTCCGCAAAGTCAGACTTACTAGAAACTAATGGCTTTTGATAAAATCTTGCGAATGTTTTAGATTTTTCCGTCCACCCCGCGGCCAACCGGATCATCATAGCTTATCCCTTTCCTGGAGGCGGCAGAAGTAGCTGAATGTCTAGTGCTCTGACCACAAAAAGAACTTATGTCTATACCACTCTTTAATAAGATAGTTTTTAACCATCTGCTGATGGTTTGAGCAGAGGCTATTCGATGCGGCCTTTTAAAACATAGAAACAAACTCAGTTCGTTACCTCGAATAGCCTTTGTTTTTTCCAGATATAACAGTAACGTTTTTGCTGGGCAAATATTCACATTATCTGGAAAAAATGGCAAAACCAATGTGGGCTGCATTTTGTTAACGCCAGATGTCTTTATCCTTTTAGATATGCAGATTTCTAACCGATCTGAGAAATTTTGAATATTACACACTTCCATACTAGCTAATGTTTGGACGCGTTGGCCTGTTGCTAAGGCGAGGAGCATGGCCGTCTTGAGAGTTAACTGTTCTAAAGTAGGATTCGTAGAATATGAATTTTTTATATAGTTCAAAACTATGCCTGGATCCCAGGTGTTGTTATACTTAGGGAGGCCTTAAGCAACTCAGTCCTTTGAAAAATCTTTTAATTAATAATAATAATAATAAATTGCTTTTATTGCTCATGTAAGTACAGAAAAAGAAAAAGTACATAAATCTGATGCAATGAGCAAACGGCAAGGTTCGCTTGATTGACAACCATTAGTTGTCAATCCGCGCTCTTCCACCTAACCAAAAAAAAAAATCAAGTAGTATATCAGTAGTAATAATAACAGCAAGAGAAAAGTTAAACGTTAACACAGATACATATAGACATATTATGTTTTAAAACTATATATTATAGTATACGTCCATAGATGACATATAACTGTTGCAGGCACCTTGGTAAAACCTATAATATAAAACGAGTTGATGCTTGAATGAGATTGCTAGAAGTTGTAGCTAATATCATATGAAGGTAAAATGTCAAAGATCAAACGAAAAAGACATACAGAAGAATAATTGGCAAATCAGCGTGCAGTGTTAAATTTAAGTCATCTCAAGTCTCAACATAGTCTTCACTTCTCGCTTAAATCTCAAAATTGATAAGGCTTTAATTCTATCAGGCAGCGAGTTGTAAACCTTAACTATGTCATATGAAAAAGAGCACTTATAATTCGAAGTTTTAAATTCAGGTAGTGAGAGATGATGTTTAAACCTCGTGTTACGACTATGCACTTCTGTACGGGTCTTGATCTTCTTGTAAAGATAGGATGGTGATTCAGTATTGAGTATCTTGTGGTATAGTACGGATCGATGAAGGTACCTTCTTTTCTCTATATTGAGCCAACCTAAGTTCTTTAAGTGAAGAGATATCGGCTGCCGCCTTCTAATACCACTAACAAACCTGACACAAGAATTTTGAATACGCTGAAGGCGCGCCTTATCTCGATGTAGCAATGACGGGCCGTACGCGCAGTCTGCATAGCTGAGGTGAGAAAGAACTAAAGACTCGCACAATATTATTTTTGTTGTCTTGGTCATTATGCTTCTGCTATTGTATAGCAGTTTCAATGATGAAAATGCCCTTTTGGTTATAAGAGAGACATGCTGGGAAAAGCGTAGATCTGTATCCATAATAATCCCTAAATTATTAGCGGAGTTTGTAAAAGTTATTTTGTCTTGTCTAAATTATTCTTTTTTTACCAAATATTATTAGATTTAGTGGCGTTGACGGAGAGACAATATTTTTTTGTTAGCTGATAAAGAACCTGAAGGTCCTCATTTATGTTAGTTAAAGTTCGGTTTATATCTGATTCATTAAAAGCAATATATAATTGAGTGTCATCGGCGTTATAGTGATATAAGACGTGTTTAAAGCTTTTGTGCAGCTGAGACGTATACAGAGTGTACAAGAGTGGACCTAAAACAGATCCTTGAGGTACACCTCCACAAACTTTAGACAATTCGGATGTTTCACCAAAGCATTTGACAACTTGTGCCCGATCTTTGAGGTAATTTCTTAATAAATGAATCGCACTTTTAGAAAAACCCAAGTAGCGAAGAACAGCAATCGTAGATCATGGTTTAGCTTATCAAAAGCCTTCGAAAAATCTAATAAGATTAAGATGCATAGGTTGCCATCATCAATGTATTTGCGGATATCATCTGTTACTTTGAGCAAGGCTGTTGTGCAGCTGTGACCTGATCTGAACTCTGATTGGTTTTCTGGAAGAATGTCATTTTTAGCAACAAAGTCCCTCATTCTAGCATCCAAAATCATTTCGAAGACCTTTGATGGAGTACATAGGATGCTGATGGGTCGAAGGTCGCCCACATCTTCAGGGTTGCTCTTTTTTGGTATGGAAATTACTTGTGCAAGCTTCCAAATTTTGGGTATTACATTGAATTTTAGACAATGATTAAAAATATGGGTGAGATATGGTAAAATTATAGGACAGCTGTACAGCAGAATGCTGATACTTATACCGTCGGCACCAATGGCTGTTGATTTCACTGGAAGCAATTTTTGATATACTTCACTGTCATTCGTGTACGAAAACTCTAATGCTTCTTGAGGGAGTTGCGTATCGGAGAAGAATCGAAGAGTTTACTGATCAGGTCCATTATTATCACCCGAGATGGATTGCATGAAGAAGTTATTGATTTGGTTTGCAGTTCCTAGGTCTTGAGGTAGTAAATTCTGTTTTTTATTAACTATATTCAATTTTCAGAGTTCTTTCCACATGCGGTTTTTATTTAATGCAACTTGTTGCTCAAAGTATACTTGCTTTTCTTTGTTAATCGCGTGGTTTATTTTGTTCTTTACTGTATTATAGCCTAACCAATCATTGTGATTCTTTGTACGATGATACTTTCTTAGTGCCTTGTCTCTTAGTTTCATCATTTGTTTCAAATTATGGGTAAGCCAAGGTGACCTTTTTCTAGATATGCGGACTGTACTATAGGAGCATGGAAATCGAAAATATTTAACAGTAGTTCATTCAGATAATTCACTTTCATATCTATATCCTTAAGCAGATATATTGGACTCATGTCAACATTATTCAGGTGATTTGTAAAAAGCTCATAATTAAAATGTTTAAAGTCTCTTTATGTGTCAAGAAAAGGTACAAAAATATTCTTTGAAAGTGTAACCTCACATGAAACTAGAGCATGATCAGATATCATAGAGCAGTCTAATGCATCGATAGCCGAGATGTTTAGTTCATCTTTGCAGATAATAACATCTAGCAACTTTGAGGACTTAGGTGTACATCTAGTGGGTTGTTCAACTATCTGCTTCAAATTCAAAACTTCTACCAGGTTTAGTAGCTGTCTACTACAGAAATTGTCATCCAAAAGGTCGATGTTTAGGTCTCCTGCACATAAGATATAACCATGATTAGGAGCAAGTGTGGACAACGTTACTTCCAAATTATCTATAAATTGGTTCACGGGGTAATCTGGGGGTCGGTATAAAGATCCTACAGCAAAATTTTTCTGGTTAAAGCTTACGGCGATCCATAGTTGCTTCAGTATCATGATACTCAATATTATTTATAACTTTGCGTTTAAGGTGATTTTTGACATATAAAGCTATACCTCCACCTCTCCTGTGGTGACGATCACCTCTATACAGTGTATACCCTTCGAGACTGATGATATCATCAGGAATGTTGTTATTTAACCAGGTTTCCGATAGTGTTATGGTATCATACCTGTTAAAAAATGCATCTTTAAAATAAGCGTATTTGGCTGTGAGGGACCTGATGTTTAGATGACAAATTCAAAATAACATAATATAATGTACTAAAAAGAGTTAAAAAGTAATATGGCGTACAAGGAAATGATAAATATTATAGGAGATTAAAAAAAAATCCACACAGAACCACCAAAAACACTCGATTCGATTTCAACCATACACTCTCTCAGTTTTGTTTGGAGTCTTTATTTTTGCTCGATGTAGGATTACTGTTTATCCTAGGTCTTAATTGCTCAGCGGCTGGCTCTGCACTTTGAGTTATCTTCCTTTTGCTTGTATTCTTATCTATTTCTGTTATAAAGACATATTGTTCCTCCTTACCTTTAGCTTGATCTTCAGCAGCTTCATGTGGTGTATTAACATCTGCACCAGCTTCTTGAAGGCCTGTTTCAATTTCTTCTTCCTCGTCTGAACTTTCTTCATCAGCAATCAGTTCGTGGGCTGTAAATTCTGTACCATTCACGACTAGCTTTCTGTTTTTTATAAATGCATTTTGATTTTGTTTCCTTGCTTTCTTAAGTTTCTGACGCAAAATTTTTTGTTCCTTTTGCTCTTCAAGGGTGAGTTCAACACCTATAGCGATGTTTGTACCTTTTAATTTTTTGCAGTTCCTAAGGATTTCTTTTTTCTTTAGGTATGACACAAGTTTCAGGATTATGGGTTTGTTACTGGTTTGCTTCCCTATGGTATAAACATCGTTGATATCGCTGGGAACCAACGATAGCTCGAGTAGGCTGTTGACTTTGCCAATAACAAAGCTAATCAAGTTACAATCACTTGGAGCATTCAAACCAAAGACTATCAAGTTGTTCTTTTTAAGTTCTTTTTGCAATTTTTCATACTGGATTATCAGTTCATTATACTTCTCTTCAATTTCAGAAATTTTCTGATTAAATTTATTAATTCTGAAATCTTCACTAAGATTTGGCCCTAGAATCTGTGAAAGTGCTGCTCTATATGAATTCAGAGAGCTACAAGAAGACCCCTTATTGAAATGAAATGTTAGAAATTTAAGTACTGCAGAAACCGACTGGGTGTAAATATTTATTTTTTCGATTGCAATATTGCCACCAAAGCCTCAAGCCCACGTTGTACTGCTTAATTGTGTTATCTGTAACTGATGCAAGACATATATTTAGCGATTCCGAGGGAACGTCCCCCAATATCAACGCCTGCCTGATACAATTCCTGCCACCAGGGTAGTCTTTCTCCAAAGGGGGTGTGGTGACCTGTTGAAAGACATTAACATCTTGGATGGCCGAAGTTTTATTGGATTACATTCTAAAAGGGATGTAAACACAGGATACCATGGTTGAGATGTCCATAGGGGGACGACAAGAATGCCCCTTGCTCCATCGAGGATGATTTTATTCAATACCCGCAAAATTAGTGAAAATGGCGGAAATGCATAAAAATAGAGCTTTCCCCAGATCAACGTGAAAGCATCAATTGCCATACTCTCGGGGTCTCTCAACCATGAAACAAAGTTTTTGGATTTTGCATTAATTCTACTCGCAAACAGGTCAATTTCAGGCTTGCCAAACTGTGCAACTATGTTTTCGAATGCAGATACGTCCAGGGACCACTCCGTCTCGGTTTCCAAACTACGAGATTCCAAATTTGCTTCCTTATTATCGGCTGATTTTATGTATGCCGCATAAAGGAATAAGTTTCTTGTTTCACACCATTGCCAAATGGTGCCCGCCAGACTATTAAGTTTTGAAAATCGCACACTACCCATTTTATTAATGTAGGCCAAGGCTGTGGTGTTATCCACCCGACACAGGATGTTACAATTAGATAGGTTAGCTGCAAAACATTTTAGCCCAAAGAAAACTGCCAACAGTTCTCGATAATTTATGTGATGTAGTTTTTCAATGTCCGACCCGAACCCGTGCGACTTTTTCCCAAAGTAGCTAATACCCCAGCCAGAGTCTGATGCATCGGAAAAAATTTCTATAACAAACGAATCAACTTGAATGAAGTTTTTTGCCTGTGGCAAGTTATTAAACCACCAGTTAAAATCGTGAATAAGTGTTGGGGAGAGTCGCATGATTCCATCAAAATTCCCTCTCGACTTGAGTAATGCTAAGTGTTTTTCCCGTTCGAAGTTTTTTGTGTACAACCATCCGTACTTGATTCCAGGACAGATACTGACTAGTTTCCCCAACAATCTGGCAAATTCTCTAATGCTACACTTTTCCACTGATGACATGTTTTGCACTAGCTGTCTGGATTTTAAAACTTTTTCATGAGGAATACGAATAGACATATCTATCGAATTATAAATGAATCCAATATATTGAATTGATTGGGATGGGGCTAAAATGGATTTCTCGTAGTTTGGCAGGAAGCCTAATGAAAGTAAGAGGTTTAGGGTGTCCTTAAGATTAGAGAGACACTCTTCATGAGTGTTACCAAACAAAAGAATATCATCCAAGTAAATAACAGATAAAAACCCTTTTGCTCTAAGAAAAGTAATAACGGGTTTCATTAATTTTGTAAAGATGTAAGGTGCTATGTTTAGCCCAAAGGGCATACACCTAAATTCATATAGCTGCCCACTGCGGACTAAATTCTTTATGGTGCCACTATCTTCCATCTTAAAATAGCTGCAATGTATATGTCTATTGACATTTTTCAGATTCAGAATGAGACGATTAGAGCCATCGTTTTTTGGCCTGAGAAAAATTTTAGAAATGTGCTGCTTATCACTCGCCGAAGCCATGGTAATGGCTCCTGTTAGTAGTAATTTAACTATGCAAACTTCGATAGAAGCTTGATCCTGAAGTGACCATGAGGTAACTGCAAAAGTTTGTTGTTTAGGATAATGTCTAAATGGTAACTTTAAACCTTTAACCCAACTAAGGACTAATTTATCCTGACAAACCCTAAGCCAATTGGGGTAGAAATGTTTAGGCCTACCAGCGACACGCACCTCAGAGGTTGGATTCATTGCCAACTGCGATTCTTACGAACCGATTTTGCCGGATTTGGTTTTATGGTCTTCCCGGACACCTCCAAGCTGTGGGAAGCCTTGAGACACTCCTCCAAATTTTCGCCGAAAAGCCAGGAGTCCGATGGTATATCGTCGTTGGCCTTTTGGAAATCCTGGTTTAAATTAATCGAAATTAATCCTCTGCGAGTCACCGTTTGTTGATGAAAAAAAAAGTCTAGCATTAATCTGCTTGCCTCGTTGAGTAGTTTGATGTATTTTCGGTCGCCCCCCCCCCCCCTTCAGCCAACATTAAGCTACAGAGTTGGCCCGTAGCGGCTAAACATGCGGCTGTTTGACCCTGTAGAGCCATCAACCGAGTGTCCCTTTGAGGGTGATATCGCCTTGACAACCATCGGGTTAAGTTTTGGGGTATTGAAAATTTTCGGGGGGAGGATACTTGTTGCAAAGTTCCTTTGTGTCTCTTCAGACAACCCCGCGGCCACAGCTTTTTGCCAACGGGAAGCTAAATCTTTGTGTAAATTCGGCCCATAAATGAATGTGTTGGTATCAGGTGTGCCCAGGATTTCGACGACATCTTCTGAGAGCTCGACATCAGGAGGAGGGGCGTCTCCTTGCCCTGGAAGAGACAATATTTTTATTCCACCTGGATGTGTTAGTGTATCATCAACACTGATGTGACACATTGTCCCAACTTGACCAGAAACTGTGAAGAGCGGGATAAACGGAAGGTATGCTCATTGATACCTTATCATCCAACCAAAAACAAAAAAGGTACTCTCATCGATACCCGGCAAAATACGTAAGTACACTCATTGGTACCAGGCGACATAATTGGGTACACTCATTGGTACCAGACGAAATAAATAGGTACCCTCATCGGTACCTGCTTAGAGAATGGGTATACTTCCTTGATACCCTGAAGTACGAAAAAAGGTTCGAATGTTACTCACCAGCCGAAGGTAAGCAAATCGGTGAAACCGTGCAATTTGAAGTGTGGCCCCCGGACCGATCCATTATACTCGAACCAGGGGGAGTCCTTGATCTAGATGACAGAGAGGACTCCGACGACTGAGACGATGAAGACAAAGACGACACTACTCTCCGATGTCGTTTCCGTACTGGGCTTCGGCTGCGGCGATCTTCAATTATCCGCAAGCTCTTAGTGATGTCTTGAAGACAATTCATTACATCACCCATATTTCTTGCATTTTCCGCGCTAGATTCGCGTGAAAGGCTGCGGTGCCTTCATTGAATTGATTTTTTGGGCATGACACCCACAATTTGAAAAAATCCCGGCACTAAGGTACGCACTGACCGGGAACGAACTGCTCGATTCGACACACAAACAAAGTATGAGCGTTCAACGAAGTGGCGGAAGGACAGGACTGTATCCAGGGTGAGAAAATTTGCTTTGAACTGTGTGAGATTTGACTGCAAGCAGAGCTACTACACTTAGCCTTATTTATGAAGGCGAGGCGCAATATAATGGAGCGTTATTCGTATGCGGAACTTGCGGATATGCATTTAATTTACGGAGAAGCTGGTGGTAACGGAAGACGAGCCTCGCGAATCTACGCCCAACGGTTTCCAGAACGTCCTCATCCGCATCACGCCATTTTTGCAAGGATTCATGGACGTCTTCGTGTCAGTGGCAGCATTAGACACCTCGCGGGAGCGGGGCGGCCCTTCACGAGGCGCACAGTAGAATTTGAGGAAGCGATTCTGCATCATGTAGAGGCCAATCTGCGTACAAGCGGGCGTGCTACTGCACATGATATGGGAGAGTCTCAAATTACTGTTTGGCGGGTTCTCCATGAGCAGCAACTACACCCATACCACCTTTTAAAAGTCCAAGCCATGGGTCCAGAAGACTATCTGCCGCGCCGACGTTTTTGTCGTTGGTGGCTGCAGCAGCAGTTGAGGCAACCAAACTTTGGTCGCTACGTTTTGTTCACTGACGAGTCCTGTTTTACAAATAACGGTTATTTTAATAGCCGTAACAGTCACATTTGAGATGAAGAAAACCCTCATGCCATAGCCATCCATAGAGACCAACAGTAATATTTCGATCACTCATCGAATAAAGAAGAACCAACCTAGTTCTAAAGCTATTATTTTATGTAACTAATAGAAACATTTTGTCACGTAAACCGGCGTTATGGTCGATAATTAGATAAATAGAGAAATTATCTAAATGTTCTTTAAAAGTTCTTCCCAGAAATTGAAGCATTTTCTTTAATCGTTTAAACGTGTACTTTATCATTTTCAGAGCCAAATATGAAAATATATTTTTAAATAACTTGAGGTTGACAATGTGAATGCATACATTTTTCCGTCAAACCAAAAGGACAATCATGGATAGCTGTTTAGTGCTTCGTAGCTACATCAGTATGGTCTAGGCTTGGTCTCTTGTCTCTGGACAGATGACGCTTTACGCTATCTTATCCCTATTCATCTGTGCAAAAATGTGATATGGCGTCCACAATAAGAAATAAAAATGATTATTGAGGGCAAGACACGAAACATCATATAGAAGTTCTAATTAAGTGGAAATATAAATGTGCTTCTTATTTTGCAGTTTTGTATTCCTGGCCGTTGATACCAACTCATGTTATAAATTCTTGAAATTCAGTCAATTTCAATTATTTATTATGAGTACAACATGCTGGCGGTCTTAAATTCCATCTTCACGTGCATGCAATTTTTAGTTAGTGAAAAATAATCACATTTCTTTCAGGTAGATATTGGCAGTTTGACTGTAGGTGCATGAGACGCAGTGCATGCACTATAAGTATATGACTTCTCACACAAATAATGACACATTAGGTTCAATTACATTTATTACAAAATAAAATGAATATATCAGCTACTTTACACTTTGAAAGTGGAATACCTAATCAGATTTCCAATCTTACGCAGCGTTCTGATCACTTCTTCCTTCTTGTTTCTTCGCTGAAATAAAGATATAATTATAACTGTCACAAAAATACACTTACAATTTCTTAAAAATATATCCAGAGCGGCAGTTATGATGATTTTTTGAATTCATAAGCTATACATCATTAGAGATGACAAAGTTGATAAACTAGTTCTTCGCCTTGATTTCTAAAAAAAGATTTAATCAAAAAAATGTTGAAACCAAATTCGAGTATCAGAAAAGGTTTCATAGATCCGACTACTGAGAAAGTGATTCTGGTAATAAATGGCACTTGTGCGGTTGATTTTGATAGACTTTATACCTCTGATAAGTTAGGTCTGCTTTTGTTCGTTGTTCTATGAAGAGACCTAGACCATGGTCAGATCTTAGGCAAAAGTGATATTGTTAGTTTTATGTTGTAGGTTAACCACGACTCACCTTTGTCGGCTAATCCTCCAAAGATAAACCTCTCGACAGTAATCATTGGTGATTCAAATGCCAGTGTCCAAAAGAAAGCCAATACCACGCTTATGATGAAGTATCCACACCACAGGTAAAACTAAAACGATACAGAATATGTCAACTACCACTTAACTGATTCAAGTATCAGGTCATTTAAATTGTTATTTTTTATTGGCGAGGAGAAAATATTGACATGTATTAATGTTTGCGGTTACCTCTATAAATTCACTAAAGTACGCTCTAACTCTGAGCATCATGACGTAATGAGCTACAACAATCCCATGTAGCAAATACATGCTGTAGCTCAGCTTTCCACCGACCTGAAACAAGGGACGTGCCAGGAACCATCTGACCACACCTACAAAAGTACATTCTTTAGAATATTAATATGGAACATGTGTTCCGTCCCAAAGATTAAGAACTCTGTATCTCTGTGATTTTAGCCAAGCCTCATATTGGATTTCAGAGAGCAAAAAGTGAACGCTATGTGAATTTAGATTGTGGGATATAGAACTTTTTCGGTTGGTGGTGTCGTGAACCGATGATCCATACTTCTGTTGAAAATTAGACATGCCTTAAGGCCGTATCGTCAATCGTTCCTACAAGATTGTAGGACGCCTTTATGGCATCCTTGATTTTCATAGTTTTTTCTATCCCTCAGAAAGATAGGAGTATTTCTAGATTTCCACTGTTTCATATCAGCACTCTATGTTGACGTTATATTCTCTTTTAAAGTACTCCCAGTACTGGGACAAATTTCCAATTTCTTTGTATGATATATTTCCAACTTTCCGGATCAAACTCTCATGGAACCAAAGCAATTTTGTGATTAGTTTGTGACAAATAGGTGGGTGAGGATTATCCGATTTGTAAAAATAGCGGTTATGCTGATCCTCGTTCTATGCATGTTGAATGGACTAAGTTTACTGACGTTAATAATTAATTTGATAATGACGTTCATTTGATTGTGTGTCTTCCTGTCGACCGGGTTCATTTGTTTCAGCCGCCTGTATATCAAGCAACGTTAGACTACATGAATTCAAAACGCGACTAATAGTAATCACGTTCTGGAAAATGCCACTGTTTAGTTAATAATCAGTTTTATAAACTTATATGTCATAAATTTGATTTGTACTTAGGAAAAAGCTGCCGAGGCAGCCGAAGCGTTAGTATACTAGTCAATTCTACATCTGTGGTTTCATTTATTGGTCAGTTCATTGGAGATGGATGAGTTACAACCTTTCCTTTTCAAAATTCTCCAACAACTCATGCCAGGTATATTCTAGCACTAACACATAAAATTCAACTTTTCCTTGAATTGACCTTGTAGGATCATGGTTAAGATGAATATGACATCTCCCAACGCTATCCTACAAGGTGCTCTAATGAATTATTTCTTTCACAACACTCATTCTCAGAGTTTTTGGTCTAAGGACTGCGATAGGTACTTACATCATTTTTGCAGATCATTCAAACTTAACGCCTGTAATTCTCGGAAACTTATCACAGGATCGCTTTGGTCATATGAGAACTTTCGTTCAGGAAGTCTAGAATTGTACTGCATTATTGAACAAATCGACTGGCACCAATTTCCATGTGTTTTATGCGGAGTCCTTTCTTTGACGAACAAGGTTTATTTTTATTGTTTTTTCAATTAATGTATAAGCCTTATATTTTAATAGAGCAATAAATGGCTTTTGCTAAACGAGACTAGTAGTTATCTTATTTCATAGTTTCATATCTTTGTGAAGCGCCTACCTCCATATCCGTGATAAGATGCGTACACTATCCAACTCAATCCTATACACCAAGCTGGTCTCATTAGGCTATAGAAGACTGTTTTGTTCACATAGTAGTCCTGCATTTCTACTGCTTGGTAGCAGATACATGTAGCAAGCATTCCTAGCAGGACAGCAGTCCAAATAATCAAGTTAGCTGTCTACAAATAAGTGAACACTGCTGTCTTATGAAAGTGAGTTATTGAAACTTAAGATGGATTATGGTCACGTCACGTAAACCCGTGTGCTATCACGCAAATTACCGTATCAAAGCTAAGCGGCGGTTCAGGGGGGGGTGCCTGTTCAAGCAGAACTCGACGTTATCCTGAGTCTGCGTAATAGCTCTAGATTTTACATCACATAACTGTATTGTGTCGCTTTATATCTTGAAATATAACAAACGTCTTACCGATCGTGAAGATTTGGTCATCTTCATATTAAATAAAAACGGAAGGTGTTTTTTCTCTCTCATGAACAATCCTAATGTTATCCCCATCGTATAATTGATAAATCTGGAGTGAGTATCGTATGCACTTAAAAGAGAAAAACTGAACTGTAATATCATTAAAAGCTGATAAATTGCAAAGTAAGTGGCGCACTCGCAAGGTATTTATTACATGAACCGCAAAAGTCCATGCTTGCCCGAGAAAGGATTTCAATATTGTTTGACTGTTTGATTCACCTACAATTGTGAAACATTGTATTGCAGTAGTACTATCTTAACAAACAATACCAATGGTGAAGTTAAGTTGTTTAAAAGAGCTTTTTTGGAAAAGTTGTTCTTTAAAGCATACTTACTTAGTATAGTCCCGATACGTAAGTTTCAGATACATAGGTAGGAACGTGAATAATAGGTTCACCAATAACATGGCAATCATACAAGTTTTGAATTTTCCATGGTGAAGTCCGATTGCTAAAGGTATCATTACGATTGGAGACAAAAGGAACATCTGCATATCTGCTGACAAATACCACGTGTGTGTCAGACACTGCAAAAAGTAAGAAAAAGATAGTAAGGCAAGTTGTTTCATTTAGATGTCGAATTGTCACAAGGTTCCCACCACAAGCCCTTAGTCAACTTGAGATTATTTAGACCATATCTTCCTTCCTAATTCCCCACATTCCTATGTTTACTCAGGGCTCAAAAATAACATTTTTTTCATCTGTTTCTCTGTGTGTTCGAAATTCCTGCATAGAGAGATTGACACAGATACCAGTATTTCACAGATAACATAGACAAGCTTCATGCTAAATGTTTGGCAATTTCTAAATTGGTCGAAGAATTCATAATTATAAACTCAAGGATAACTTACCAAGTTGTCGTAGTTAGAGTAATTCTGTATATACAGCAAGAAGGACCACCAATTGGTTCTACAAGAACTCATCAGTTGCTTCACAAATTCGTCGTAAAAGGGTCCGCTTCCCAAATATGGCAAAAGATACATGCAGCTTAAATACAGCATTAGAACTGCGGGAGTTATCCTAGAAATGTTTTTCCAATGAGTACGTGGTACTATTTCTTTGACGGTGCCAGCGATCTTATGAGACTGATATGCTAAAAACTCACGAAATATCTTGGCTTCATTTCTATATTTTTGTGTATAGTTGAAAATAGTTAGGATAAGTAAAGATTGTTCTTTCGTTGTTTTTCGTTCTGATCATTTTGACTCTTTGAACTCTTTGGAATCAAGAAAATCTTAGATTTCAAGCAACATATATCAATCATGATGGATATTTTTTTTGGGTGAAATCCTGAAAACGAATTATCTGAAGTTCAACTTAACACAATGCATAATCGAGATTCTAAGTCGATGATTTGATCAATGTATCAAAGGACCCCTTGCATTCCGTTTTAAGGCAAGCTTATTCTAACAATATTGTAAATTATAACACTAATATTAATAATAATAATAAACCATCTTTATTGACTTTTATATTTAAAGCAATTACGACATCAGTGGCGAAGCTAGTTAATCTACTTATACAGGGTGGCGCATCGAAAACGAAACAGACGCATTTACTGGCAGCTCAGTTTTTTTCTGGAATAACGCTAAGACCCGTCGATTTTGTTTTCGAGGGGGACACAAGTTTGGCAAAAAACACGTTAACACGTGCAGCCCCCTGGGCGGGGGTGACACCAACCCTAAAATCTTAAATGGAAAGGGGGGTCGAGTGATACCTTATTTTAAAGGTCTTTCAATTCTCTTTATAATGATGTAAAATGGATGAGCTTCAGTTCAGTAGTTTTGGACATTTATTGATTTAAAGCTTAAAGTAGACTTTAATAGGCACATCAGATTAGTTTGTACTTTTTTCAGAATAAATTTGACTAAAAGAATTTACTTAATAAGTAAATGCTTTTCTTCACTACGCCCATGGTTTGTTTATCATTTTGTTGTTGAAAATAGCTATTGGAGCGTTTTTTGTGGCAAAAAAGTTATTTCTTGAAGAAAGATAAGGAAATATCTCGTACTTATTTTAAATAGGTATTTAGTACATAGTTTGCGATTGATTTGACCAAACTTTGTTGCTAAAATAACTTGTAACGCTTTATTACATAAATTAATCATGGTATATTCCACAGCAGAAAGAGTTGAAATTATCGAAATATTTTTCGGAAATAATCAGTGTGCTAATAGAACAGCAGAAATAATTAATGAGCAACATGAGAACAGTAACGTGCATCGAAAATATGTTCTAGAACTTGTAGCTAAATTTCGGGAAACTGGGTCAGTCGCCAATAAAAAACGCAACATTGAAAATCCAATAAGGAACGAAGCAACAGAAGTGGGGGTTTTAGGGCAAGTTTATGTAGATCCTACGTTAAGTACCCGCAAATTGGAGACTGTGTGTGGTGTTCCGTGTGAAATTCACCTGGTACAAGAACTTAATGAAGACGATTTTGATCGGCGATTACAATTTTGTGAAGATGTGAGTGAACGAATTACAAACGATGAACATTTTCTATTCAACACTTGCTTTTCCGACGAATGTTCCTTTTTCTTAAATGGCATAGTAAATCGTCATAATTGCCGATATTGGCAAGAATTTATCATGAGGTTCATACACAGCAGCCACAGAAATTAAGTGTTTGGGCTGGTATTTTTTGCCATCATTTAGTTGGTCCTTTTTTCTTAACTGGAAATTTGACCGGTGAAATGTATTTGGAATTACTGGAAGACGCCAGAGATCCTGCATTAACAGCTATAATTGAAAATCAGAATGATCGGCGGTACATTGCGAATAGGGTGACGTTCCAACAGGATGGTGCCCAACCACATTACGCATTACGTGTTCGACAATATTTAGATCAGACGTTTCCAGATCGATGGATTGGGAGAAGAGGTGCCATTGAATGGCCCCCAAGATCGCCAGATTTATCACCTTTGGATTTCTCTATGTGGTGTCATTTAAAAAGCAAAAACTATGCTACTCAGCCAACATCATTAGAAGACCTGCGACAAAGAATTGTGCATGGGTGCCTTCAAATTACTCCTCAAATATTGCAAAATGTGCGGCAACGTTTTGAGCAAAATCTTTATTATTGCATGGAGAGTCATGGTGGCCGTTTTCAACATTTCCTTCCTAACGGGTCAGTTCATTCTTCATTTTTAAATTACTTTGCTGCCAAATGTATTGATCTCCACTAATGATGATGTATTAGTTTTATTTAAGCTTTAAATCAATAAATCTTCAAAACTACTGAACTGAAGTACATCAATTTTATATCATTATAAAGGGAATTGAAAGACCTTTAAAATAAGGTATCACTCGACCCCCCTTTCCATTTAAAGTTTTTGGGGTGGTGTCACCCCCGCTTAGGGGGCTGCACGTGCGAACGCGATTTTTTGCCAAACTTGTGTCCCCCTCGAATACAAACTCGACGGGTCTGAGCATTTTTCCAAAAAAAACTGAGCTGCCAGCAAATGCGTCTGTTTCGTTTTCGATGCGCCACCCTGTATATGGTAAATGAAGTTTTTCAAAAGGAGTTGAGCAACGCAGAAATTAGCAAAACATACACGGTAGGGATTATGCTTTTTACTTTTTAGTACCATACAGAATCTACATCGAAAGAAGTAGTAAATCTTATGTTAAAAAGGAGACCTAACTACTTTTGATACCTAACTATAACTATTAACAATAAAAACTAAATTTAAAATGTATCATTGATCCTACTGCATATCAAACAAATAACGTTTAAATTTGAATTTGAACTTGCTCATGTTTAGAATCTTGAATGCTTATGGACGCTGACTATACATCCTGATCGCATTGTATATCTATGGAACATGGCGGTCTTGTGCTGAGGAGCTGTGTAGTTCAATTTTGATCTAAAATTTAAATGATGAGCATCTTTGCGAGGTATTAAATGTTTAATCAGATCTTGAGGATTTGAATTGTTGACCAATTTATGCGTAAAATTACACATGTGAATGAGTCTCCTACTTTTCATTCGCATTATCTAGATAACGCGTTGCATAATCTGATAAAAATAATCTGAGTCTGATACTATGCTATAAATTACGTAACATACAGTAGTCGAAAGATTGATATGATGAAGAATCCATGGTTATCCTTTGAAAATACCTTAAACATTATTTTTGTATACAATACAATTGATACGACGCCAAACTTGATCCGTTATTTTTCATATTCTTAGTTACACAGTAAATCTTATGTACTGTGTAACGTTAAGAATGATTATGATCATAATATGTATACTTAAAGTATAACAAGACCAAGGTAACCTACTTAAACCAATCGCTTTGATACAACGGAAATTGAGTTATGACTAAAAAATTCAATTGAAAACATTTAGGTACTCAGACTTTATTGTACATCATCAGCTGCTTATCGTTCTTTCATGAAAATAAGTTTGATAAGTAAGCCATCATTTGATGATATAAATAATATACCAGATCAATCCTGGCCTTCTTAGATTAGGTGTATATAATTTGTTTCACTACCAACACTATAAGGTGAAAGGTTGGGAAATCTCGAAACTGGAGATACTACAGACCATAATATGTCAATTAACCTAAACATACCTCAGTTCAAAAGTTTATAGTTTTCGAGATACAGGGTGTCAAAGCTATAATTTTATTTTCTATTTTTCCTTATTGCTTGAGAAGTATTTCAGATTTTGGCATAAAACTCGGTATAGGGGGTTTTCTAGTATGAGAGACATGGATCCGTTATTTCTTATGACCAAACTTAGAGGGCACCACTTACAGCACTATTTCGGTAAATAACTTATCATAACTTTTTTTTGCTACCCTGTGTACAACTGACCAAAAAATATTATTTTCTCGTATTTCCGCAACAAAAAAGGTTTACTTGTTAGAATTGTCTAAAGCTAATAGTTTTAGAGATATTTGCTTTCAAAAGTTCCAATGCATTATTTGTACCATGATGATAAAACATTTTTATAACATAATAATCAGGTTGCTATGGATAATATCTGAGTAGCATTGCTATGGTTTCTAATGTTTGTCATAATATTGCTAATAAGTTTCATGAATAATTTTAAGTTGACAATAAGTTGTTAAACATCATGGAGGATACGTTTGATGAATATTCTGATATACATATAATGTACGGATTGGCAAGATGTAATGCTTTAAAAACACGAAGATTGTACGCTGATAGATTTGTTAATATACAGCTGCCTAATTCAAAGACTTTCCAACGAATCAATCAGCGGTTAGCCTTATTTTGTGTAGTAAAAACCATTTGTATTTCAGGTAGTTTTACTCAAAATATGGGCCGACATAGTGGAGCTCCCAGAACTGTACGTACAGCTGAAGTTGAAGAAAATGTTTTAGATGCTGTCTTTGAAAATCCTACAGTTGGGGTTAGGAATGTAGCTCGAGAATTTCAAATCTCCATATATACAGTAAATACCATTTTTCAAGAGCAACTGCTCCATCCATACCTTCTGTAAAAAGTACATGGTTTAAGCGCGGATGCTGAACCCGCAAGGGTAGAATTTTGTACATGACTCTTAAGGAAGTTTAACCACAACAATAGATTTACGTTAATATTATCTTCGGACAAAGCAGAATTTGGAAGGCATGAGCCCATTAACTCCCATAATCTTCACATTCATGCAGACGAAAATCCTCATGCAATAATACAAACCTGCCACCAAGTAAAACTTCAAATTAATTTATGGGCAGGAGTAATTGGACAACATTTAATAGGACCCGTTGAGTTACTACCTAGACTATATAGCCAAAGGTATTTATAATTTCTTGAAGAACAATTATCCACTCTGCTGGAAAATCTTCCATTACAAACACGCATGAATATGTGGTTTATGCACGACGGCGCTCCACCTGATTTTAGTATATTAGTTAGAGAGCACCTGAATAGAGTTTATCCAGACCAGTGGATAGTCCGATCAGGACCTGTAGAGGAAAGGAACCAAATTTGAGATATTTTTTTTGTAAGGAAAAAATGAAGTACTTTTTGTTTTACACAAGCGTATATTTTTAAATAAACTTGCGATTTAATGCTCCTGGCATACTCTAAAATGAAAAAATTATATCAAAGGTATTGTTTGCAGACAAAAAGCATATTTTAAAAAACGTAAAACTTTTTGTGAATTTGCAGCTGGTTTCCTAATTTGAGATACTATTCGAACAATTCCGTTTCTTTGCAAATTATGCAAGAAGTACCTTGTCTTGAAATCGTCAATTAACTACAACCACTTGCACTTGTAAAAAATTACACTAAAAATACTAGTTTAATTACAGAACTGTCAAAAAGTACTTTCGTAAGTGCACTTGTAGTTTGTACTTTGATGCTCACTACAAACTGTGAGAGTTAGGAGACAAACAAAACCTTAACTGGCTCCTCCTACGTAATGTGAATTCGTTGAATGCAAAAGACAGCGGATTTGGCTTAAAATGGTCCAACCAAGAGGAATAAGGTGCAAATGTTTTGTTTTTGTCAACATTAAAAAATGTCGTATCAAAACATTATTGAAGAATAAGTAGAACTGCATGACTCAAAATTACTTATTTCTCAATTGTTCTTAAATATCTCGGCATACGAAATTAGCTTCAGAATTTATCTTCAAACTTACCTGAGGTATCTGTGGATGTAAAGCAGAGGTATGGATTTTACTTGTACCAAAGCAGAGCTGTGCTTAATTTTGAAATAGTGATATGCAAGTAGAAATCCTGACATGTAGAAGAATGTGTCCACGGCCAAAGGCGCACTAGTGATATAGAATATGTACAGGTGGTCAGTCTGCCACTAGAAACCAAATAAAAACAATTATAAAATAGGAATCTTAAATGTATGAAAACGTTTCCTAAAGCTAAGCATCCACTAGACTGTATCTCACTGATCACGAGTGGGATTTTAGAATCATTTGTTTTTATGCATACACCAGGAATCTAACGATTGCCAATTTTTTGGCGAAAGCAAATATCTACAGCCGTTATTCCCGAATCAAAACATACTTGAATCAGATAAGACTTTTGCAGTTTGTTATTCCTCTAGTTCAGCTTGATTATTGAATTGCTATTTTAAAAACTAAGGCGAATAAAATACGTATATAGTTTGTAAAATAAACATTTCTTTTTTTCAACAAATTTAAGAAAAGAATTGTTGTTTCTACTTGTATTTTTTGTTTGTAAAACATATATATAATAAGACTAAAAAAATAAAAAATCAATATGTATTTGTTTGCTTTGCTAACACCAGATACATCTTCGTAATCCAAATTGTGCGATTTACGATTATATATTTGCGGCGATAAATGCCAATAATCTGCAAAAATGGTTAGGCCTGAGTGTATGATAAATTAGAAAAATTTCATTTTTTAGGTTGTTCTGATCAAGGTTAGCTCATTTCTACTTTTTGTACTCTGAAGTGAGCCAGACATTCACTGATTTAGCAGCAGCATCGCCGTTTGGACTGCTCACTTCACTAACAAAACGAACGAAACGTATGATTTCCAATGAAAGATATTTGATTGATTATAACACAAAGGAAAAATAATATGTGTAGAATAAAGTGTTTGCTTATCTATTACAACACACAAAAAGTAAACTGGTTTTTCTTATATTATTCAAGTGCGTAATATTATTTTCATATCCTCTTTTTCCGATATATACTAAGTGACATATAAATCCGAACACCCAGTTAAAATGGTTTTATTTTAATAAATGTTGGTGAATGTATTTATCTTACTGTAAATAACAAGTGAAAAAATTTTCAGCCTTATCAGTTGGACATTCCGGTTTTTATACTGCTTTTTTTTAATTCACTAACGCTCTAAAAATGAATATTTCAGCCGCAGTAAAGAATCAACGTTGGCGGATTTTGGTTCTTGACATCCTTTACGATCGGTTACGATGCCTAGAGTACGGAGACCTGTACGATTTCGTCAACTTAGTGAGTTTGATAGGGCCCGTATAGTGGGACTTCGGGAAGCTGGACTTTCTTTTTGGGCAATTGCAGTTAGAGTGCAAAGAAGTGTAGACACTGTGGTTAGGTGTTCTCAGGCATGGCTTCGAGAAGGCCGTACGCAAAGAGCAAGGGGCACTGGACGCCGCCGTAGAACAACAGACCGTGAAGATCGCCGCCTAAGATTATTGGCCTTAAGGGACCGTTTCTCCACTACCAGGTGAATTGCAAATGAATGGTTTGCAGAACACGGAAGACCTATTGGCATGCGAAGTGTTTACCGACGAATGAGAAGTTTTGGCTTGTTTTCATACCGGCCACACTGGGTCCTCCCTTTAACTCGAGAACACCGACGAAATCGCCTTGAGTGGTGCAGACAACGGTCACTCTGGGATCAGGAATGGAACAGTATTGTCTTTAGTGACGAGTCTCGATTTTGTTTAGGCATGCACGATGGTCGTACCAGGGTTAGAAGGCGACGTGGTGAAAGGAGGAATCCACAGTTTTTTGTTGAAAGACATGTTCATCACACTGTTGGAGTTATGGTTTGGGGTGCTATAGCTTATGGTTCCAGGTCACCTTTAATCTTCATCAGAGGTAACATGAACGCGCAGCGTTATATCCACCAAGTTCTAGAACCCCATCTTTTACCCTATCTTGACACCCTGGCAGATCCAACTTTCCAACAAGATAATGCCCGACCACATGTTGCACGAGTCACAATAGACTTCTTTCAACATAATGATGTCACATTGTTACCATAGCCACCAAGATCCCCCGACTTATCCCTAATTGAGCACGTGTGGGATATGATGGGTAGGAGATTGCTCAATTTGCAACGTCCTCCTCAGACTCTAGAAGCACTTCGAGAGGAGTTGGAGGTTGCCTGGAATGAGATACCACAGGAGGAAATAGACTACCTGATCAGAAGCATGCCTAGGCGCGTTGGATACTTATTATGCTTCATTAAGTACTTATACAAAATTTTATTAAAATAAAACCATTTAAACTGGGTGTTCGGATTTATATGTCACTTAGTATACATATTCGAATATTCGCGAAAACCTTTATTCAACGCCGGATGGTAATGTCCATAAAAATATTCAAGACAAAGAGCGGGAAACAAATATTATTGTTCAATAATATTGACCAACTTAATTAATTTTTCCACGTTATTTTTGTATAACGTGCATAAGAAAGAAAGCTTATTAAAACACAAATAATAAAAAAATATAGTAAAAAAGAGATACGCAGCCTAAATGAACCCAGAACACATTAGAACATAGCGGACACATTAGGACAACGATAAACGAGTGCTTTCGGCTCATTTAAGTCGCACTGGTATTCTTCATTCTTCATCTTATCAACTGAAGCCGCTAGACAAAATGCTGTTGAAACTAATTCGTGGCGAAGGATATTGTTTCTTATAATAAATAATATAAGTGAAATGCAATCCTATTTCTCTGCGTACAAACGTGATAGACCAATGTCTGAGATTAGAATTAACCACACATTAATCTATTTTAAGTTAATTTTATCTCCAAAACTAAATTTAACCCCAACCTCCCGAAAGCTTGGAAAATTTCGTGCCTCTCGATTCCTTTAACTACCATTATTTCATATAATGTGAAAACTGTAAGCTCTTGACCGTTAGCAGGTTCACACTAAATTGATATTTTAGAGATTAGCGTTTATTGGCTCTGCTCGTTGAGTTAGTACCTTGATTCCATAATTGTAGTTTGAGACAGGGAAATTTTTGAATCCGATAAATCCATGCCCAGCTATCACCCACATCATACTTATGGTTTTCATCCCATGAAAAACTTCAATTTGCTCTCTGTTGCCGTCGCTAGTTTGTAACACTTTTTGTATATTTGTCAAAACGGAAAAAGCCTTGAAAAGTGGCTGACGAGATTCTGAAAGATAGGGAATATACTCAGGTAGATTTAAAAAAATAACGTGCTAAGGTATACTGAACTAAATCTCCTTAAGGAGACGAATAAAATACTATATTAGAATTGCCGTAATCTTCATATACATAAAAGTAAATATGGAAACGAAAACTTACTTCTTTCTAATTTTTGGTTTGTGTAATCATAGGCTGTAGACAATATCATCAGTACCAAAGCTGCACAATATAAAAGCCTAAAATGTATTCAATATGTGATTGTAGATGAAAAATTGCGAATATATATATATATATATATATATATATATATATATATATATATATATATATGTGTATGTAAGTTTCAAGTTATATACAGGGTATCCTGACAGATGAGACATTCCTCTTCATAGTCAACTACGTTTGCAATACCAAAGCTAATTTGCGACCAAAAAACCCGATAACGAAAAAAGGAAAATGAAGAAACATACTCACTATTCATTAGCTAAGGACTTTCAAGTAGTACCCTGCCACATGCTTTATTTGTAAACACTACGTTAAGTTGTCGTTGTTCAATTCAAGAACACGAGTTTGCTTGTCTCTCCCTAAATTTGCAAAATTTGAGACTCTCTAGGTCTTCAACTGTCTTCAAGATATGAACAAACAGACGCAGCTCTGATGGAAAGAAACATCGAGGATTACGGCGAAGTTGAGGACTATTCATTTAAGAAAAAGCTTCAAAAACCGTTTTAATGGTGGTAGTATTTATAATAAACGGAAATATGTTTACTTTTGCCATGTATTCTTCGCTGCTGCGATATTCTCATTCCATTGCACTCACTGTGGAATGAAATTTTTGAGAAGCATTATTTATCAGTATAAGTAACGTTTTTGCACGAATGTGTTTATTGTTCGCTCATTCTAAACAAAGGAGGTCTTCGATAAATTTTCTCTAAGGTGGACCGCTCTGATTTTTGGTATATGTTTAGAATCAGCGAAGAATAAGGAAAATATATTCCATTTAATAAATGTTATGACTCATCCTTTGAGGAGCGGCATATTTTTCAAGTAAGGTGCATATTATAGTTGCCTGTAATTTGTATAACTAACTTTTTTAGGTATTTAAAATATCGGAACTACTTACCCCTTACTCATTAAAAACGCCCTGTCCGTAGAAGCGTCCTAGCTAAGGAGTTATCAGAAGTGTCAGGTTTGGTTGTCACTTCGCTGGTGGTTTGCCCCCCTTTTTTTCCGCAACAAAGAGACAGAAAATTTTACTATACAGTGAATGCTGTGTAATTGGCATTTTTAACAGTCTTCACATTTAAAATGCAATGGATTGAGAATATCGCAGCAGCGAAGAATACACGGCAGAAGTAAATATTTTTCCGTTTTCCACCGTTACAAATTTATTTTGAAGTTTTTCATAAATAAATATCAATACGCCATCGCCTCTTTTTGGACAAACGTACTCCTGATTGTTATTAATTACAAGATCAAACGAACTTACATGTAAGTGATGTTCGATCTTAATTATGTGAAGTCCTCGTCGAAGTAAATATTTAGAATACATATCGTAGTACCCTCGTAGTAGTATCCAACCGCCATATAAACCTTCATTTACTTCAAAGCCAAGTTATTGCAACAATTGGGTGATACATAGGGAGCGAGGGAGCTATTTACTTCGACGAGGACTTCACATAATTAAGATCGAACATCACTTACAGGTAAGTTCGTTTGATCATGTAATTATGCTCCGTCCTCGTCGAAGCAAATATTTAGAATACATATCGTAGATGTTCAAAGCTAGTTGCAACAACATACTACTAACGCTCTGCATTAGTAAACGATAGGTTGTACACAACTACACAATGTATGTGTCAACTAAATGTACGTTTCCAGTGTAACAATTCAAGTTAAGGCTTTTAGCAACTGGTAATATGTCGTACCTGGTTCAAAAATTACCATCCATTTCATGATACTGAGCAAATAACGTAATAACATAGTTATGTTTAACCCCTTCACATCCAGTACTCCACATATGGATATTTTGAATATGCTCTCTGGATACCATAATATCCACATATGGATATCATTGTTAATGGCTTATGTTATGGAGCAGGGAACTGGTATGGCGAGCTGCTATCAATTAGACCGACTGGTATGGCATACAAGCCATCCCCACCCAAATTTCTTCAATATCCAAAATATTTCCACAGAAATATTTTTACTGTTAGTACATAAGTAGTCACGCTGGTACGCGGTCGTGTATGCCTCTAAATTACGTTTTGGCGGGAAAGTCTGTTTTATCGTGTTTCTCAGTGTTGTTTGGATGTAAAAGTTTTATTTATCAAAAATGAATGTCCAGGACTATTATACAGATAGTGATGACGATTCGGAGTATAAGTTAAGTGATAATTCGGATATGAGTGACTCTGACGAAACATATTCGGAGACTGATGACGAGGAACTTGTCGAAAACGTGACCATGGACGAATGGCAAGTTTTAAGTGAACCTTTTTCCGATCAGGTTCCTAGAGCTACGCAAAATTTTTCTTCTGAATATACTTTTCACCCCGCCATTGATATGGAAGAGTGCAGAGATCCAGTCAATTGTTTCGAATGTTTTTTAAGCCCAAATATCGTAGCGAAATTAAGTGAGTGGACGAACAGAAGAGCTGAAATGTACTTTGAACAAAATACAAATACAAGGACAGTTTATGGCGTTCAGTGGAAGAAACTAGAAAAAGAAGAGATGTACGTTTTCATCGCGCTTCATATTCTTACTGGATTAGTAAAGTGCCCTCGCATAACAGATTACTGGAGTAATAACATTTTGTGCGCTGGTCCAAAAGTTTTCAATAAGTCTCTTATGAGTCGAAACAGGTATCTTTCTATACTCAAGTTTATTCGGTTTTCGCCACCCGAAGCAGCAAGAAACAATGCCCCTCTAAGCCGACTTGGAATTTATATGTCCATGCTCAAAGACAACTGCAAGACGTTGGTTGACCCTGGACCAGTGTTTGCAATAGATGAACATTTGATGCTTTATAAAGGCAGATTGCACTTTCGTCAATATATTAAAACAAAAAGAAATCGATTTGGCATAAAACTTTTTGCAATGTGTCCAAGCGCTCCACATTTGCGCGGATATACTTGGAACTTGTGTTTGTACGTAGGGAAAGACAATTTCGATGTATCCCATATTCCAGGCACCGGAAACCTCACTGTTTCTGAAAGAATTGTCGTGCATTTAGCTCAAAATATACTGAACAGTGGCCGAGAAGTTATTCTAGACAATTGGTATACATCCGTGCGGCTTTCGCAATTTTTACTTACCCAAGGAACCTATTTGACTGGAACTATAAGAAGCAATCGTGGAGTTCCCGCTCAGTTAACTAGAATTCCACTAGGCAACTGCTTGTACGATATAAGGACAAGAAGGATGTTTACTTGTTGACAAGTAAGCATAGTGCAGGGTTTTTTGAAAAATCTCGCTATATGGTAGGCGGTAAACAAGTGCATTTTAAAAAACCTGCCCACATTGAATTTTATAATCAAAATATGGGCTCTGTTGACGCTGTCGATCAAGATCTGGAACCTTACAATTCTTTACGAAAAAGCTATACTTGGTTTACAAAAGTGGGCTTTCAATTAATGCTTCAGATGCTTCTAAATTCTAAGGTTTTATTCTGTAACGCTAAAGATGATTTCAACATTTCTGTATGACTATATAAAACTGTGCTGTAATGGTATTTTGCACAAATACAGTGAAGGATATCGCTGCATGACGGATGCTTCTTCATGTTATAATCAACCTTCAACTTCAAAAAAAAACACAAAAAGAACACGTTATGGTTAATTTACCAAAGGAAGATGGAAAAAAAACGGGCATTGCGAAAGATCTGCGTTATTTGCCGAAAACACAACCAAAGGAAACTAACACGAAATATTTGCATTGAGTGTCCAAATAAGCCAGGGGCTTGTTGTCCGGAACATTTTCAAGAATACCACAAATGAACTTTATATTTTAAGCGATTTACCAATGTTACGTTCTACTAGTTTATTGTATGTAAAAAATATGAATAAAGCACTTATGTTCAAAAAATGTGACTTTGATTTATTTTTACATGGATATCCAAATATGGATATTATGGTATGCCACTATTATCCAAATGGTGGATATACTGGTATAGTCATAAAATATGAATCACTGTCGCCATGTTGTTTTTGACTTTCATGAAATATTTTAACTGTGGTTAAAGATGTATGTCATTATGTAATCTTAATATTTCATTTTCGATTTTTTTTCGTCTGGTATGTGAAAGTGCCTTTTTAAATTGCACCTGGATGTGAAGGGGTTAAGGTGTGGAGACTTGGTTCACCTCAAATGCAGCTTGAGCATAGCTATTGTTTGGCATAAGAGACTTGTGACGTATCTCTGACAACGCACTCCAGCCCGCCGCGAGCCTGAGACTACTATAATTTAGCAGGCAGAGAGGTAGACGCATTTCATGTACTGTGGGTTGTCAATTGTGACACTCTCTGCTAAAACCGACTTCATCCATCTGGGAGCCAAGGCACCATGATAAATTTACTGTACAGTGACAAATAAATACTTTGGGCAGATATTTGGACATAAAATACGGTAAAACTTAAGTGGTTGCCACATGAGTGACCCCGAGACTTTTAAAAACTGAGAAATCCAAATTTCAGTATTATTAAACCCAATCCGGATGTTGTCTGTTTCAATTAGTTTGCACACCCTGACCTGAGGTTAGAGCTAGCAGTGCTGCTGATTTCCTTATCCAGATATATATCTACAGAGCTTTCCAGCAACCCCTTTGGTTGGTTGAGAACAATCACAGTATCTGTATTTCAGTTGAGATGGCCTCAGCCTGTAAATTCACTTCAAAAAACATCTCATGTCTGCATCGTTCCGTATCAGTATTACGCCTACATTTTATCTTTGACGCGAGGGCAGTAAGATTTCTCTCTTTACACAATTGCCATAGTTTTCCCGCAACCTGATCCAGACGTGGAAACTAGAAACTCTCCATCCTATTGATGTAGCATGGGGTATAATATGCGACAGCCCATCAATTCGATAGAAAAGCATTCACCACAGAAGAAAATTACCAGTGGTTCTTGATGATTAGCATGCGGGATCTTCTCGGGTGACCAAAAACTAGAGACTCCTCCCTGTCCAAAGAATGTCCCAGTCCAAGAAGTTATACAACTAAAAATTGAATAACTCAATACCTCTGCCCATATC